GACAAGCTGGTGCGTCCCCCTCCCCGCAGTGCTTCCCCCCCTCCCAGCCCCAGGCAGGAGCCAGGCGTGGGCTCGGGGGCTCGCGTTTTGACGGGAGCGCACGCTGCTCCGACCGCGCCGGCCCGCCCCTTCGCCAGGACAAATCTATCTACCCCGACTCGCTGTCTGGCCGCCCCTCGGGCCTGGCAAGGGCCCCTGGATGCAGAGCGTGGCCAACAACCGTCCTTCCTGCTTGTTTCACGACGCAGAGGTTTTCCTTTTCCCGGGGAAGATGGATCGCACTGCGGAGCCAACAACTATCACAGACTGCCGCGCGATAGGTACACGAGCTACGCGCGCGGGGGCACAGGCCCCAAAAACGAGCACCGGCCCCGGACCCGGGCAGAAAGATCATCAATCCACCAGGGCGGAAGTTCGGGCGGCTATACTGGCGCCGCGCGGGGATCGCTCGCGACGCGCGGGCGTCTGGTCGAGCGGTGCTGCTCGGCATCCCAGGGCGGATAAGCCGCTGAAATAAAATCGGGACTGATTGCAGAGGGCGCCCGCGAGGACAAACCCCCCCCCCCGCCGACGGGAGCCGGCGCCACATGCGGGGCGCCGACCTCGACGACGAGTGGCTCCGTGCAGCGAGCGGAGTTCGGGCCTCTACTGGATCCCTGCCGCGCGCGCAGGGCCTGCTCCTCCTCCTCCTCCTCCTCCTCCTCCTCCTCCTGCTCCTGCTCCTCCTCCTCCTGCTCCTCCTCCTCCTCCTCCTCCTCCTCGACCACGTCGCTGGCTCCGTCCGTTGGCGATGCCGACGTCGAGGTGGGTGCAGACCTCTCCTGGCGAGGCGGCGGCCAGGGGCCCGCGCCGTCGAGTCCCGCGCCTTGTTAGGAAGATCTTCGACGAGCTCAAAAGAAGAAGCAAACACCTCGCACGGAAGACTCTCTTGTATTGTTGCGACATATAAAGCCTCTTCGCAAGTAGGAATGACAAGATCGACTCCTTTTTCCTGAATCACCTTGATCAGATCGTTTGAAAATGCCTCGAGATCCTCCGCAGGGGAGGAAACAACAATAAATCGATCCACGCACTTTGAATAACAAAGTCGGCGGCGCACGACGTCCCCCGGGCAAGAATAGCGCTCGATCTGGCTGCAACTCTAGAGCGCATCTTCTGATGACGACCTCGCGCGGCGCTGGGGCGCTGCTCTTTCGGGCGTCGGGCCTGATTGGCGATCGATGGGCCGCGCGACCGCAGCCGCAATGACGAGGTGAGCGGTCCTGGGTGGCAGAAATTCCGCGGTGGAGATGGCCCTCCCTCTGGCAGCTGCAAGCCGCTGCGCCTGTCGCCGCCCGCGCGGCCAAAGGTGGCGCAGGCCTGGCGGATTCTCGGTAGAAGGCTGCGACGCACTCGCTCGGTCCCTGCCGCGCTGGTTCTTTTCGCCGTCGAACTGGCCATCGAGCCCATTGGCGAGGCGCGCGCCATGTCCGAGCCGTTAGGGCGCGAAGAGAATTCGGCGTCCCCCTTGGACGCTGGAAGTCGCGTCTGTACAAATTTGGGAGTGTCTGAAAGTCGCGCGGTCCAGCTTCGGCCATCCCCGGCTCGATGGCGCGGTTGAACATGCATTTGGCTGCTGTGGGCCCTGTTCGGGCAGAGTCGTCTGCAAGGTCGAATGCCGAATGGCCGAAGAGGGTCGAGAAGGCTTTTGCGAAAGGTGCCGCGGCCGCCCGCTTCGCGAATGCGCCGCTGGGCGCGGCGCTGCTTATTTCAGATAGCAAATGGTTGCGTGACGTAGTGGGGGAAGATATGGCGGATGCACGACTCCAAAGAGGTCGGGCTGCCCATGGGGGCGCCTGAATGGGAGGTGCTGCCGCAGACTGGGCTCGAAGACATCGGCGCGCCACCGTGTCCTTCCCGCCCAAGACTGCGCTCGGGCAGCTCGGCATCAAACCCGCGCCCGCTGCAGGCAATGTCTGACATCGGCCCGGCGACGAGAGCAGGCCCCTCCTCCAAACGCGAATGCGCGTTGGCATGGCCCGCTAATTGTATCTAGACCCGTTCAGCGCGGGCCCCTCCGAGCCCTCAGGGGGCCACAGGTCAACCGCGCTTCAGAACACCTCGGTTCGCCCTCGGGGGCGCGCGAGAGACCCAATTTTTCGAAGCTGAACGCACTGGATGGCTCTTGTGTCATATCGCCCCCCTCGGGCGCCCGAAGCTTTCGGGTCCGCATCGAGGCGCGTCGCCTCGCGCTGGGGCATCGTGACCGGCTGCAACCGCGCTGGCGCTACGGCGCGCGCTCCGTCGCACCGCGCGGTCGGTCAGATGCGCTGGCCCTGCCTCTCGGCCCAGCATGGAGTGTTGATGGGCGGTGATTCGAGCTTCCAGTGGGTTGGCGAGACCCTGCGCCTCATCGAAATTCTCTGGTCTGCGCTTCGGTGGCAGCGCGCCTCGGCCTATGAATTTGGGCCTGCCCTGCAGGCCCGGCTTTCAGTAACTCCGCGGTGAGCCCAGCCGTGTCTTTGCACTTGCCGTCTCTGAGGTGCTTCACTGCTTGGTGCAATTCCTCGTGGGTGAAGGGTGGAATGCTCTGTCGAAGTCGCCTTGCTGCTTGTTATTGGGCGTCAGGAGAGCTGCTGGGCGTAGGCAAGATTGCGTTTTCAGGGCGCCGGTACAAGTCTTCATAGAAGTCCGCGAAGACGTCGGCTATCCACTGTCGGTCCGTCTCATTGGAGACCTCTGCTGTTGTCATGGCTGGTGTGCGGTCCTTCTTCTTGCTAGACTTCATCCCAAAGATCCTGTTCAGGACGCGGAAACTAACGATGATGTCGTTCAAGATTGTCTGCCGTTCAGCCCTTGGGATGTCCCGGCGTGCACGTATCATACGTTTGCTGAGAGCTGTTCGGTTGGCTGTGTCGAACTGTGGCGTCTTTCTGCGTTGCGTAATGAGTACGTGCAGATGTTGCTTTGTCACGTCGTCGTTGCTAGGTGTTTTTTGTTGGGTGTTGCTGTTGGTCTTGTTGCTGGTAGTCTCTCTGAGCTGCTACCAGTGCTTGTTCGATGTGTGCAGCGGTGTCTCGTGGGCCACTCGGCAGGTTGTTGGTCGTGAGGTATTTCTGAAAATGGTGTTGAAGTCGGGGTCGTTCGGTCGGGGAGGTTCTTTGTGCGTGCGAGTCTGTCGTCGTTTCCGTCGTGGTGCTCGGGGTGTCGCGTCGTCCAATGTTAGCCGGAGATGCACGGCTTGGTGGTCGGAGCCCAGGTCAGGGCACGTCGTGGCGAATGAATCCAAAACCAAATGCTGGGCCCGCTGATCCATGAGAAAGTAATCGATCTGCGTTTGCTTGTGGTTGGCGCCAACGCTCGTGTACGTGAAGACGTTGTCGAAACGCTTGCAAAACATCGTGTTGGTGATAGTGAATGTGCGCACGCATGCCCACAGTCGTAGCCAAGTACCGCGCTGGTTGTACACACCCTGCCCGTGGTTGCCGATAGTACGTTTTTATGCCTTGCTAGCGCTTGAATCGTTGTCGTCGTCGCTCCGTTTACCAACTCGTGCATTGAAGTCTCCTGTCAGGATGGTCGTCCAGCGTTGTTGGTGGGCATCGGCATAGATTTCTGCAAGTCCGTCGTACATACATTGCACGTGTTGGTCGCCGTACCCTCCATGTGGGAGGTAAGCCGTGACGACTCGGAGCGGTCGCTGTGGGAAGTCGACGCCGATGTAGGCGACCCGCTCGTTGACACCTTTAAAATTAGTATACGTCGTGCATGTCGTTTTCGGGAGCGGCCAAGAGGGGGGTGTCCAAGAGGGGGGGTGCAAATTATGACCGGCGGCATGTGCGCGGCCCAGCGGGGGGGCCAGGGACGTAATGAAATAGGAAGAGGCGCCATGAAATCCGGGGAAAAATCATGGCCCGCGCCATGAAATCCCCGCCCCCCTAGTCATCACCCCCCTCTTTTCCGCCCCCGACTTTAAAATTCGTATACGTCGTGCATGTCGTTTGTGAACTAGGAATGCAGCACCTCGTGTCGGACAGTCATGTCCAGACGCTGCGAATACGTGCGCGCCAGGCTCCGTAGCCCAAATCTCTCGTTTTTTCTGTCCGCCATGTTTCACTGAGTGTCACAGCGTCCATCGTACGGAGGAGGAGGAGGAGGAGGAGGAGGAGGAGGAGGAGGAGGAGGAGGAGGAGGAGGAGGAGGGGGAGGGGGAGGAGGAGGAGGAGGGGGAGGAGGAGAAGGAGGAGGGGGAGGATCGGCAGCGAGCGCGGGGGGGAAGTGAGAAAGGGCGGGCCTTCCCAGAAGGCTCGGAAGCCCCCTGGCCTTCTGAGAAGTTGTCTGAGCCTTCCCTGAAGACACAGAAAACTTCTCAGAAGGCGCGAGGGCTTCTGAGACGTCCCGCCGCCTCCTGAGAAGGCCTTCTCCTTCGCATTTCCCCCCTCGCTCGCTGCCAAGAGGAACAAGAGCAGGGGGCCCCAGACTCTCAGGGTCTGCGAAAGCCCTGGCGAAGGCTGCACTGCTGACCTGCTGACCTGAAGCCTGCGAACATCCTTGCACGAAGTCCCCCGCTGCCCTCGATAATTCCCCCACCCAAACCACAAACGCCTCCTGCACGCCGACCTGCAACCTTGGACGTTTCCACATCAGCCAAGGTTGGTGGCAGGCTGATCCAGGAGATGCCCGTCGGCTTGAGATATTGAAATTGGGCGCCAACCGCTGCACAGAGATGGGGGAAAAAAGAGCGAGGGTGGAGAACAGAGCGAGCGAGCGTGCAACCGTGCAGTGGAGCAACGACATCCCAGAGCATTGAACGAGGACAGTCGGGGGATATATTGAGAATCCTATCTTTCCACCGACTGGGGGTTCAGCAGCGATGGCGGGGAGAAAGGGAGACGAGAGGGCAGTGGAGTCGGCGGAGAGGAGGTCAAGGAAATACAGCTCTGCGCCCCTCCCTCTCCCCACTTCTCATCCCTGCCTCCCTGGGGGAGCGAGGGCCGGGAATCAGAAGCAACTCACAGGGCATCTCCCGTTGTTCCCTCGCGGTGCACCCTGCATCCCTGCTCGCCCTCGAGCTCCACGAACTCCTTCATGTGGGGCGCCTTGGGTCACGCGCCGACTAGGAGGGGAGAGCAGTATGGGGAAGCTGGAAGTGGAGGAGGAAGAGGAGGAGGAAGATGAGGAGAAGGAGGAGGAGGAGGACGAGGACGTTGAAGAGAAACAAACACACATCATATGCTAGCGATCAAACCTGACTTGCCATGGAGAACAGCAATCATGGAGACACGGGTCCCGAACCCTATGACTTTCTTGAGTATCGTTAAACTGATCCCCATCCCCAGCGGCGTGGCGGCCTGGGCCCCACTGGCCGATTAACCCCCCTGGATAGCCCTGGATAGGGGATATGGGCCGTCCTCTTCGGGTTCCGATGGGTGTATCCCCAACTGGGGGGGTAATTTGGGGGGGGGGGGGCTCGAAGAGGATGGAGACGGGGATGGGGATCGGTTAACCGATACCGACCCAGACATCCGGCTGCTCCAATCTTTTTGGTGCGCAGACCCAAGAGGTCTGGACCACTTCCCTGGGACCAGTTTTTCGTCCTGAGTCGTTTTTTGCCGCTCCCGAGGCCCGGCGAGGGCCCCCGGAGGCCGAAAACTGGCAAAAACCGCCCGCTCCAAGTTTTTTGGAGCGTCGGATCTCAGGGGATTTCTCCCAGACCAACTGTTCTTCCAGAGCCGGTTTGGCTTTGCACGGTCCCAAGGTCTGGGGGGGGGATTGGGGGGCGGCCCCGCGGGAGCCCTGCCAGGCACGGAAGGTGGGCTTTGGCTGGTGCCCCCTTCGCAGATGCTGCTCGCTGCCCGTCTCGCGTCGGCTCGCCTGGGGATCCGCCGACCCTGTCGGCGTGTGCGAGATGCGAGAGAGAGAGAGAGAGAAAAAAAAAAAGAAAGAAGAAGAAGAAGAAGAAAGATGACAACAGAAAAACTCGGGGTGGTCGCCCTTCGGGCGCACGCTAACACGGACTCATGAGCCGTGGATCTGGCGCGCGGGGTCGCCAAACTCATGGATCGGGGGAAGTACCTCCGACATGCGAGGCCAACGCCGCCTCACCTGGCAGCGGGACCCGTCGCTGATCCATGCGCCTGGATCCGTGTTGGCGCTCCCTCGAGTCCTGGAGTGGTCCTGGGAGACGCTTTTCCATTCGAAGCTCTGCCCCTCCCCCCGCGTCCAAGGCCGTGCACGGCGACAGCGGAACCGAGAACCGACCGAACCGACAGCGCGACCGAAACCGACCTAGGCATCGACGGGCGTGGAGCGGCCCAGCAGGCGCGGGGCGCAGCGGCGCGGCGGCGCCGCGATGCCGAGCCGAGCCGGGCCGACCGATCGCAACCGAGCCGAGCCGAACCGACCGAGCCGAGCCGAGCCGAACGCCCGCGCTGTCCCTGCGGCCACCCGGGGCTCTGCACAGCTCGGTCTCGGCCGCACGAGGCGGGGGGGCCGCCCTCAGAGGCCGCGGCGGTCGCGGCGCAGGGGGGCCGGGCCCGCCAGGGGATCCGTGCCCAGCCAGGCGAGGTGGTCCCCCGGGGGAGGGGCCTTGGGGGGGGGGGAGGGGGAGGAGGAGGAGGAGGAGGAGGAGGAGGAGGAGGAGAGGAGGAGGAGGAGGAGGAGGAGGAGGAGGAGGAGGAGGAGGAGGGAGGAGGAGGAGGAGGAGGAGGAGGAGGAGGAGGAGGAGGAGGAGGAGGAGGAGGAGGGGGGGGAGGAGGGGGGGGAGGAGGATAACGACGATTCCCGAGCCTGTCCTACGGCCTCGCTGGGGGGGGGAGGGGCAGGGTCCCTGGGGAGAGGGGGGGGATGATTACTGAAAGGGTTCTGGGGGGTCCCGGCGGATGGGTCCAGGAGAGCCAGGGGGGGGGTCCGTGAGGGGATCCCAGGTGGGTCGGTCCCAGGAGTAGAGGTCCTGGGGAGGAGGGTAGGTCCTGGGGGAGGGGCGTTTCCCGTGCCTGGAATGACTCCGGCGATCTTGGGGCCAAATTGGCGATGGGCCACCCAAACCAGCGTGAGCCCTCTCGGGGCCACTCTCAGGACTACTTTGTCTTGCGGGCCGGTCTTGGTGGTCCCGGGGGCGACCCGAGAAGCTAAAATCGGCTGAACCATCCCTTGGTTGTTATGGCGTGATCTCAACATTCTCGCCGCATCGGTCTCGAGAGCGTCCCGCCCAACACTCCCCAAGACCAACCCAAAGATGGCCCACAAAACCCCCGCGAGGCGCCCAAATGGCACCGCGGGAAGTCCATCCCTCCATGATCTCAAGAACCCCAGGAGGCCAACAGAAGGTCCCACAACGCTCACCAGTGAGCCAGAAGCCCCCTAGGAGCCCACCAAATGTCCCCAAGCCTTCTGGGATGTGCTGAGAACCACTAGATCTTCGCCCTCGCATTAAAGCCGTCACTGCCGCCACTGCCATGTGCTCCTGTCCCCCATTCCGACTCGTGCGTCCAGACCGTACACTTCTCAAAATCGGCGAAATTGGCCTTAAGGCCTTTGCAATGGTTTCTAGATGGGCTGGGGGCGATACACGAAACGACAAGAAATTTGATTCCTGCTGTTCATTCTTCCTTCCCTCCCTCCCTCTCCCCTACTTCCTCCCATCCTCTCCATTCTCCAACCTGGCTCTTCCGTCATCCCCCCTGCATCCTTTGCCATCCTCACCTCTCTCCTCTGCCTGTTTAGCAATTCCACTGCAAGTTTTGTCCGCCACCATGCATCCATATCTGAAGCAAAGAGGTGCTGCTCCATGCCTCCACGTGCTCGTTTGACACGATATTCAAGAAGACCTGTGCAGCAAGTAAATTCATCCGGCCACGCCTCCCACCCTTCCCTGGAGGGTCTACGAGGTGGATTGGGAAGGAGTGGGTTCCCTCTGCTATATACGCCCCTGGGGGACCTGTATTGAATTCTGAGCAACGGTATAGTTTTGAGGTGAGGTGGGGTTGAGGTAGGGCTGTAGGGAGCGGGGGATCTGGTGCAAGATTGTTCTGGGAGGTCGTATGGATCTGCGCTCACACGACCACGATCTCTCGTACCACGTTTCGGGCACAACGGAAACCAATGCTGCCGGGTCGCATTCACGAGACATCGGAGCAATTGTTTGCTCGTGAGTTCCGCTGCGAATGCTTGCAATAATTGCTTGAGTTAAATATTACTACGTTGTCGGTGCATTTCTAAATTAAAGTGACTGGTGATGTTACGCGAAGAGTCACGCTCCATCTTCTTGTTTATGTGTTCGACTATTAGCCTGAGTCAGAGCCTCATGAGCAGAAGCGGAGCTTCATATCACCATCACATTGTATGACGAGATCGTGTGCATCCGTGCGAGCCCTGAGAACTTCGGGCTGGTTCCATTTGTCAGAAGCTTCCTGCTAGCAACACTTCGCGGGTGATATGCATGCAGGGCCGATTACGGGGTCCAAGCTCAGGCGATTGGTAATTGGCGGGAGGACGTCAAGGCTGCTGCACACGAACTTCTCCTCCCTTCACTCATCACTCACCCCTTGTCACCTTCCCCTCAAGGCACTTGCTCGCGCCCCGCTGGGTGGAGGGCATGATGCAGCCCTCTCTATTCTGCCATCGTTGTTTTTCTCAGCCTCTCCTCGTCTCTCGAGCGAAGACCTTCGTGCCTGATTGCTGGTCGCGAGTCTTCACGACGAAGCCCGGGTCAGGGCGCACGGTGATGCCACCCTGAGTTGCAAGGGAGCGCGTATAGAAGAGAACGAAAGCATGAACGAGAGGGGCGCTTTCAACGTCGCATTGACAAACATAGCGCACTGTGCACTAACTCGCGGCACAATGTGCAAATACGAACGTACGCTGTACGCTCGTATGCCCGTATGCGCCTATGTGCACAAGCATGTGCGCGCATACGGGTACACGTGCGCACATGCTACACACATGTACGCTCTTCTGCGCCGCTGAACGTTACCCGGGCTCTGGACAGGAGCTGGGCCGCACCACCTCAGACAGCAGCCCAAGGCAAGCAACAGGGGGCGTGGCGATCGCAGTCCCTGGCATTGTGGGGATCGGCTGGACCAACAAGCTGGGGCCCAGCTTGAGAATCTATGACGGGGAAGCCTCACTCTCCCCGCATTTCCCCTTTCTTCTGAGCTGAAGGAATGAACAAAAAACGATGCCGCTACTCCGCGGCCCTCCCCTTGGGTGCGTCTAGGCCAGAATTCCCACGCGAATCCGGAAAACCAGGGGTCCCCAAAGGTCTCCGCGCCAGAAGCGAAAACCAAATTCCCTTCCTCCTCCTCCTCCTCCTCCTCCTCCTCCTCCTCCTCCTCCTCCTCCTCCTCCTCCTCCTCCTCCTCCTCTCCTCCTCCTCCTCCTCCTCCTCCCTCCTCCTCCTCCCTCCTCCTCCTCCCTCCTCCTCCTCCTCCTCCTCCTCCTCCTCCTCCTCCTCCTCCTCCTCCTCCTCCTCCTCCCTCCTCCTCCTCTCCTCCTCCTCCCTCCTCCTCCCTCCTCCTCCCCTCCTCCTCCTCCTCCTCCTCCTCCTCCTCCTCCTCCTCCTCCTCCTCCTCCTCCTCCTCCTCCTCCCCTGCTGCGACCAGGCGTGTCGGTAGGGCGGGCTGGGCGCTTCGACTGGGGCGCCCTCCTCACTCAAGATCCTGGAACTTGCACTTCTTGCTGCTTCCCTGGAGGTCGGGCCGTTTTCAGACAGGGCATCGCCTAACCAACGCACATTCGTCTCAAAACTCTGCGGCAGATTCAACCATGGAGGGCGCGGGCCGTTGTCGAACTGGGGATCTCTCCTCGGACGCCCCGCGCAGTGAGCTCCGAAAGTGAGCGGCAACTTCAGGAGTGGAGGGTGGGCTGCGTTTGACTGATCCCCATCCCCACCAGCGTGGGCTGGGCCCCACTGGCCGATTTAATTGTTCCGCCGCTGCGCCGTACCCTCCAGCGCCAGCCCGCGCCGCTGCAGCATCGCCGCCACGGTTCCGCCTTCACCCGGGCCTGCGCCCGTAGACAAGCCGCAGGGCCCGGACGCGAGCCCCCAGGCCCCTGGGTTTATGTCGGGCGCGTCCCCCTACAGGGGGAATGTCGACGGAAAACAAAAAATACCCCAAACATGCACCAAAAAGGTCAAACAAATAGTACAAAAATAGTCCCTGGACTATTTTTGGATTATTTGTTTGGGTATTCTTAAAGTTCTTTTTATTTTTCGTCGAACATCCCCCTGTAGGGGGACAGGCCCGACATAACCCTGGGCGCGTGCCAGATCACGTCTGCGTCGCGCTCGTCGCAGAATAGCTGGCCCTCGTCGAGGTGCCGTGCGCCGAAGAACTCGACTCTATGTCGGGCGTGTCCCCCTACAGGGGGACTTTCGACGAAAAGTAATGAATACCCCAAAAATAATCCAAACATTGTTCAAACATAGTCTGGGGACAATGTTTTGACTATGTTTTGACCTTTTGGGTGTATTTTTGGGGTATTTAACATTGTTCGTCGAAAATCCCTAAACATAAACATAAACATAAAAACAACTGCCCAGAAAATGCTCCAAATGACTATTGTTGTAATATTTTTTGTCTTTTTGTTTGTTTTGTCTTTTTCCTCTTTTGTCAAAAAAATCGCCGGTAATCTTCCTGCAGGGGGCCAGGCCCGACTTACGTAATCTTCCTGCAGGGGGCCAGGCCCGACTTAACTCTGCTCCCTGCGTGGCGAGGTCGGCCCGCGCGCCCCCGACCGCGCCCACGCTCGCGGCGCTGCGCAGCCACCCGCGCCACGGGGGTGCCCCTGCTCCGCGCCCCGGGGGGCCCCTGCGAGCGCCCCGCGCGGCGGCCGGACCCGAGATTTACGTCGGGCCTGTCCCCCTACAGTCGGGAGCGGCCAAGAGGGGGGTGTCCAAGAGGGGGGGGTGCAAATCATGACCGGCGGCATGTGCGCGGCCCAGCGGGGGGGCCAGGAACGTGATGAAACAAGAAGAGGCGCCATGAAATCTGGGGAAAAATCATGGCCCGCGCCATGATATCCACCCCCCCCTAGTCATCACCCCCCTCTTTTCCGCTCCCGATACAGGGGGTCTTCGGCGAAAAATAGAAGAGACCCCCAAAATGCCCACAAAAGAAGGTCCAAACAATACGCAACAAAAATCTCCCCAGACTATTTTTTGGACTATTCTTTGGCTACTGTTGGGGTATTCTTCATTTCTCGTCGAAAAAAACCCTGTAGGGGGACAGGCCCGACCTGACCCGAGATGGGGCCGCATGGCACCACTCCAGCCACGCCAGCGAGCCGGGGAAGTGTCGGGGGCAGGACTCCCAGATAGCGCCCCGCTCGAGGCGCGGAAATGCGTTGTCAAGATCGATCTCCACGACCGCGGCGCGCCGCCCGCGGCGAAGGAGAACTCGTTCCGCCGTCGGCCGGAACGCCGCGGCGGCATCGAGATCACCGGGGACGCCTGCCCCGCACTGGCGGCGCCGCAGGAACAGCTTGCCGGCGGCCCCGCGCTCGTCGAAGGCGAACCGCTTCGCCGCGACCCGGCGCAACATCTCGCCCGCGCGGATGGGTCGGAGCGCCCGCCCGCTCGTCTTCTTGAGGAAGGGCAGCTTGCTCTCAAAGTTTCACCTCGAAGCGGCGGGGAGCGCCTTGGCCGGTCGCGCGGCGCAGGCTTCGCAGGGCGGCGTCGAGCGGCCCGCAGACGTGGCGGCGGCGAGCGCCGAGGACCTCCCGCAGGTGCTCCGGCCGCATCCCAGCAGGGCCAGGGGCGGGCAGCGCCGCGAATCGCACGCCTTGCATCGGGCCGCGACGCTCCCGCGGCTCGTCGCCCCCGACCTCGACCGGCGCAGCCACGGGGGTCGAGAGCGCCCGCGGCCCGCGCTGGCTGTCCTGGAGCAAGGTGGCCGCCCATCCGCGCTGATCGTCGGGCGCCAACGACGCTACCTCGGTGGTCAGCCCTGGGATGGCACGGCTGCAGGCTCCCTCGCTCCCTCGCAAACGAGTGCTCGCGCGCGAGCGCCCCGCGCGCCCGCGGGCGCTCCTGCGAGCTCGCTGCGCCTCGCGCCTCGCCCGAAGCTGCTCCTCCGCCCTGCATGGGAGCTCCGTCATGGCGCCGCCCCGCCAGAGGTGGAAACGCGCACCCCACTCGCCCCAGGGGCTGAAGCCCGCCAGGGGCGGCGCCAGCAGTGGGTTGGCATGGGCTCTGGCGACGACGCCGGCGCGGTGGCCGCCCTCCACCGCAGCGCGCGCGACTGTGAAGGGGCCCTGGGACACACAAATAAATACACACAAATAACAAAAAGCCCAATATTTTCCCATATGTTCTGGGATTTGGTCTTCCCCCCCCACTTCATATATTTTTCCATATTTTCCTGGGAATCGACGATGACTGGTGTCTGTGTGTTTTTTCCCCTCCCGAGACTGGGGCGAGGATGCCCGCCCGCCGCGGCGGGCGGGAGCGCGCTCCAGCGAGGCCACCGGCAGTTGCGTCGGGGCGCCGGGGCGCAGCGCCGCCGTCCTGGCTTCATGATCGTCGGGCAAGGCGTCGAGCGCGGGGGGCTCGCTCGGCCCCCCCCCCCGCGCGCGCTGCCGCGGAGGCCGAGCCGCGCGGCTGGGCGCAGCTCCTGGCTGGAGAGGCGCCGGCGGGGCGGCGGCGCGACGCCGCCGCGAGCAGCCGCGGGAGCTCGCGGCCCGATCGGAGCCGCAGCCCGAACAGCGAGCTCGCCCCAAGCCTCGGAGCTGGGCGGCGGCGTCCTCGGTCAGGGCGGCGACGGCGCGGCGCGCGCGCAAGTGCCTCGCGAAGCCGCGGGCGCGCCTGCCCAGCGTAGATGTCGCAGGGGGGCAGCGGACGCGCGGCTGGTCTCTTCCGGCTTCGAAGGGGCACATCCCCAACTGAGGTGGCGGGACGGTGGGGCTCGAAATGTGGATGGAGATGGGGATGGGGGTGGGTAAGTCGGGCCCGTGAGATTTTGGATGGGGATGGGTACAGTCGGGGCGTTGACCTAAGGAACCCTAAATAAGGAACGAGGCCCCTTTTTTCCAAAGTTAAACTTTGATTTCCGATTCAAAACATAAGGAAAACCTGAGGCGAGCTGTGAAACACTTAAGGAACACGGAGCCCCTCCCCAACGAAAAGGGTTCCTTCTTCAGGGCCCCGACTGTAAGTCGGGGATGGGGATGGGCAAATCGAAACATTAAAATAAATAACGTGATGGACCCACGAACCCGGGAAATAAGATAAACATGCAAAGCGTAGTAACGTTTCAAAGACACCTGATTGGGCGACGGGCAAATGCAGTGCTGAGTATATCGATCTTGATGTACCGTGCCGAAGGCTGCGCCGTGCTGCGCCGTGCTGAACTGCGATGTGCCATGCCGCGATTGTGCTCTATAGCGTTGGGGATCGAGTCTTCCTTTGCAACCGAGTCCAGACCGAACTGATCTGGATCTTAAGCTCGAGCTGCCCGAGCACAGTGTAGCTGCCCCAGAGCTAATCGACAAGGGGACATGGCAGGAGGACGCGCCGCGGAATGTCCCAAGGGACGCGTCAGGCGACTTGCAAGGGGACGTGCCGTGGGGACGCACCGCGGGATGTGCCAAAGGGACGCGCTACAGAACGTGCCAATGGACGTGCCACGGGACGTGCCAAGGGACGCGCCGCGCGACGTGCCAAGGGGGCTCGCCACGGGACACGCCAGGTTGCATTGCTGAGTGTATCGGTCTTGATGTACCGTGCCGAAGGGGTGTGCTGTGCTGCGCCGTGCTGCGCCGTGCTGCGCCGTGCTGAACTGCGATGTGATATGCCACGATTGTGCTCTATAGCGTTGTGGATCGAGTCCTCCTTGGCATCCGAGTCCTGATCGAGCTGATCTGGATCTTGAGCTCGACCTGCCTGAGCACATTGTAGCTGACCCAGAACTAATTGACAAGAGAACATGCCAGGTGGACGCGCCGCGGAACGTCCCAAGAGACGCGCCCGGCGACGTGCCAGGGGGCGTGCCATGGGGACGCACCGCGGGACGTGCTAAGGGGACGCGCTACGGGACGCGCCAATGAACGTGTCACCTCATGCTAGACATCCGCCTGGGCGAAATGGGCACGTGAAAAAACGTGGCTCGCTCGAGACATCCTCAGCGCATCTTCATGTCAGACGTCTGTTCCAGACCCCGCGGAATCGAGGAAGGCCCCAGGAGGCCCATGTTAGGTACCACCTAGGTGGCCTGGGCACGTGAGAACGCCATGTTAAATATCCCCTCTGGGCGGCCTGGGCACGTAACACCCCAATTCGGGACAATCATGTTCGAAGCCCCCCTGGGTGGCCTGGGCACGCAAACACGCGTGGGGCCAGCTCTCAGAGCTAGTCCCACGTTCGATACACCCCTGGGTAGATGCAACAATGACGGCCTGGACACGTTTAATCCATGTTGGATACACACATGGGTGGCCTGGACACGTTAAAACACGAAGCACCAGCTCGGGACCATCATGTTCGATACCACCCTGGGTGGCCTGGCTACGTGAGAACACATGGTTCAAGTTCGGGGCAACCATGTTAGGTATTCCCCTGGGTGTTCTGGACATGTTTAAACACGTGGTCCTTGCTCGGGCAACCATGTTAGATCTCCCCCTGGGTGGCCTGGACAGGCAAACACACGTGGGACCAGCTCTGGGCAACCATGTTAGATACACCCCTGGGTGGCCTGGACACGTAAGAACAAGTGGTTTGGCCTCGGAAGAACCATGTTAGATCTCTCCCCTGGGTGGGCTGGATGTTTCCAGCTCGGGACAACCATGTTCGATACCACCCTGCGTGGCCTGGATAGGCTGGATTCACGCCCCCACCCGAAACACCTTCGCAATGTCATCCCTGGAGAGGCCCCCAACGCGCCGCCCCTGTCCAGAGCAAGAAACAACGTTCTTCTATATTGGGATGTGTGTTCAGGTAGCGCTTTTCCGTTCCGATGTCGATCTCTATCGCGATGATGCGCTTTCGCACTGCGGCCACGCGCCGCCACTCTCTGCTGTCTCGCACGCGCTGGCTCCGGCGCTCTGCGCGATCCTCACGCGCGGGCTCACTCGAGCCAGCCTCTAACGCCGAAATGACTTGAGCCAACGTGGGCCGCAGAGGCTCCGGACATCCAAACGCAACGCTGGGGGGCCGACCGTGGGCCACTGGAATCAACGTAGCAGGTGCGGCCCCAATTGTTGCCCCAAGGGGCGCTCTGCCCTTCGCCTGGCATACGAGATCATCTTGAACATGCCCCCCGAGCCGATGAAGGCAACGCCGCTACCTTTCCCGGCGAGCTCAGGGACACGCCGAGCGTCGCAACTCAAGCGGACCATGCACTATCATACACGTTGACACTTTGTCAACTTCCTGAACTGCCACAGAAACCCCGCCTCGCGAGACAATCGGACGAATCCTCTGAATCATGCTCAAGACCACCTCAGCCTCGCCTCCATCACGCTTATCGTTGTTGCTCCTCTCGGGCGCTTCAATGCCCACGCGCCTCCTGAGCCACGCCAGCCTCTGCCTCGGGTGCAACTTGGCTCCCCGGTCGGCTGGGTTGAGCAACCTCGCGGTCGCGTCGATCTCCAGCAGCTTCTTCTTCGCGATCTGCTGCAGCCAGAGCGCGTGCACGGCGATGTGCCGCGCGCGCCCTGCCCCCTCTCTGGCTGCGATTCCACGCGCCGCGCTGCTATCCATGTAGAGCTTCGCCTTCACGCGGGACCCCAACCACCCGAACAGCTCCTTCAACTGGACCACCTCGCTCGCCGCGGCAGTCGGGGCGTAGAACTCTGCCTCCGCTCTCGAACGAGCGATGACTGCCTGCCTCCTCGTGCTCTCTTCAGCAGGCTGCAACCATTCGCCTCCGCATTGAACCCGTCGAGGTTGATGCTCCAGCCCTGCTCGTCCTCCTTCTTGCTCCTGGCCCACCTCGTGATGGCTCCCTCCGCGCTGGCCAAATACCGCGCGAGCCTCTTCAGCGCCTTCATGTCGAACACTGCGAATTTAGATCTGATGGCGGTCAACTCCCCAAATTCATACTGGATGTCGCTCCTGTCAAAGGACTCGTGCAACAGGCTGCCGGCACGGCTGCGAGAAATCTCCACTTCCTTGCCGTCGAACTCCACGCGGTCCTCGCTGCTCTTCCTGTTGGCCTTGACGCCCAGGGTAGGTTGTGATCCACAGTCATCCATGCCCAGCGCCTTCCTCACGCTCGTGACATACCTGGGGTTGCTCCTGAATGCGACCTCGTCTCTCGCGCAGGTTCTGAAACGCTTCAAGTGGGTATATTCCTCTCCGTGCTTGATGGGGCCGCTGGTCTTGACCATAGTGACCTGGTGCAACTCCTGGCCGAACTCCTCAATCATGGTCGGCTCTCCTGCCCCGTGGCCGTCGTCCATGTGGACTTCGAGGAAGAGCGTCCTCTGCCTGCGAACGAAGAAGTGCGGTAACCCGCTGTGCTTCTCGAAGCCAAGGGTCGTCAGCGTCTCGGCCAGCCATGTCGCGAACTCCTGCCCTGCCCTGCGGCGCCCGTAAAGCTGTCGAAGTAACCTCCACATCACTTCCCCAGGCCTGCCTGCCTCGACCTCCTTCTTGATCCACTCCGCCGGGGGGTGCGCGTAGCACTCCTCGTTCTCCGTCGCATTGAAGAAGGCGTTCGAGAAGTCGAAGCAGAAGGTCAAGAGGAACAACTGCATGGCGATGAAATTGATGACCTTGCTCGTCGTCGCTGTCGAAGCCGGCGCAAAAACGTCGAACCTCCTCGCGAACTTGGCAAACTCTCGCGCCGCGAACCTCGCCCTCGTAATCTTCTCCTCAGCCTTCCAGGAGAGATGCCACATCGTCGCGATCACCTGCTTGCCCTTCGACGCCTCCGTCGGCCCCACCTGGAAGACCCCGGAATCCTCGAACCTCTTGATCTCTAGCTGCTTTGCCTCCTCGATCTTGTCCTCGTCCCAGGCTGAGGCCTGCTCGTCGATCTCCGTCTCCTCATAGGAGCGCATCTCCTCGATGGATTCATCCACGCTGTCGGCGAAGTCGCCGATGGCTGGCAGCCTCGCTGCCGGTTGCCTCCTTTCTCCTTCCTCGTCCTCGATGTCAGGGCTGCTGCGCATTTCATCGATGATCCGCACTCTCTTCGCCGCGCTCTTCTCGTCGTCTCGCGCACCGCTGTCTCTCCCGATGCCGCTTCCTGCTGATGGCTCTAGGAGCCTCCAGTCCAGTTTCCTCCTCGGCCTCTCCAGAGGCCCCCTGCTGGCCCCCTGACGTTGCGTTTGGGGCCCTGGGGGTCCCTGGAGTCGGCGCACCTGGCACTGACGTCCCCGGCGTCGGTGCGCTGGGTTGCCGGGCGTCGCCCCTGGCGGCCTGCGTCGCGACTGGCGTTGGCGCTGGCGGCGAGGGTCTCGGAGCCGCTCGAATACCTGACTTCTGGTTCCATGGCGTAGCGTCGATCTCCCTGAGAAGCTCCTTGTTTTCGCGCTCCTTCGGCTCTGGCCTCCGCGCCGCCCTCGTCGCGATGAGGCCGCGGTCTCCGGCCGTGATGCGCTCGTTCGACAGTTCGGACCGCCCGACCCAGGTCGCCTGTGTCCATCCAGGCTGCCCCTTGTGAACCACCGTCGCGCCTCGGACGCCTCGCCAAGCGCGTCTCCGCGAACGGCAGAATCTCGCCCAGGTAGTTGTGGCCGTAGGCGGCGAAGGATGGAGTCTGCCCGCTGCCTCGCACATGAAAGCGTCCAATGCACCATCCCGCATGCCTGATCATCCAACTCCAAATGGCCACGCCCATGTCCACCACGTAGCGGGCTAATCTATCCAGGACGAAGACGCGGGTCTGCTCCTCGATCCGCCCCGTCATCTCTTCCACGACGGCGTTGGACTCGCTGCTGTGCCTGGGCACTGCATCTCAGACGCACTGCTGGGGAAGGGTGCCCTTCGCTTTGTTGCCGATGGCCGCGATCGCGGCCTCGTTGTCCGACCTGAAGATGACCCCCCCCCCCCCCCCCATGAACAGCGACCTTCAAAAGCTCGCGACGTTCGAGGCGAGGAAGTCCGACATCGTTGTGGGCGGAGACGGGATAGAGATCGGCATGCCCGCGTCGTGGTCCACGCAGACGAGTGCAACGCCTTGTCGCATTGCCTCCATGCTCGGGCCCACCTCGCCGCTGAGCTCGAAACTTATGCAGCAGAAGTCGCTCGCTATCGTTGGTTGTCGCAGGTCTCTTGCATGCGCTGCTTTGCCGATGGGGATCATCTCTGGCGCGCCCCGTCTGGCGCCGCTCGCGCCAGGGCGCCGCTGGCAGGTGCGTCAGGTAGTGCGCCGGCCACGACTCCTTCGCCGGCGGCGCGGTCGGCCCTGAAAGTACTCGCGGCTCGACTGGTCCTGCTTCGGATCTCTCGAGCTCCTCGCGCCTCCTTGCCAGATACTCCTGCTCTCGTATCCTCGCGCGCCCCCTCTCTTCTCCTGCTGGCGCTCTCGCCCGCAACTCTGCCATGGCCCCGCGCGTTGGCTCGCCCAGCTCCCGCGGCCTAGGCCGCAGGAGGTCGACGCGACTTCCTGGGCCGAGCTCGACGCCCGCCTTGGCCGGGGGCGGATCCCCGCCCTGACCTGATCTGGTACTCCAGCTGGTGATTGATCTCCGCCTGGTGCCTGATTTCCGCCTGGTGCCTGATTTCCGCCTGGTGCCCGATGTCCGTCTGGTGCCTGATGTCCGCCTGGTGGCTGACGTCCGCCTGGTGCCTGATGTGCGCCTGGTGCCTGATGTCCCTCTGGTGCCCGGTCTCCACCTCGTGCCTGGTCATCTCGGCGCGCCGCCATCTCGTTGTCGACCGTCGCAATCATCCCAGGAGGCTCGACCTTGTCTTGGATGACCTGGATGGGGATCTCCCGCGAGTTCCTCACGATCCTGGAAAAGGCCATGCTCACCTCGATGTCGGGCCTTGCCCTGCTCACATGCATGCGACCATAATCCACGACGAAACCGTCCCTCTGAAGCTTCCCCACGCTGATGATGACAAGGGTGACGTTCCCCACGCGACAGCTCAGAGCGACCTCCATGGTCTCCGCGTCGCCAAAGATCATCTCCGCGAATCTCCTTCCGCTCTCCCTGATAGGTCGTGACTGTCGCGCACTTGAAGCCGCTCCCTCGCGCACTCGGCTCTGTCGCCGAAAGCGCGAATATCTGCTCCGGGACAACATGGCCGTCTGCTCCTAAATCGATCAGCGCGGTCTTGTAGCCATCCGAAGTCCCCGTGATGAGTGCTCCGACCATCCATGATGGAGTGGTTGGAAAGGACCCCTGTCGGAGCGCAGTCTGGAGGCGGTCATCCGGTATCGTTTGGAGTGCACCAACTCGTGGCCTATGCGCCTGCGAAGCGCTGCCATTCGGGCTCGCAGTAGGGCTGTAGAGGGCGATGCTTCCGAGACTTGGGAAGCGCCTCCACGTTCACGCTCCGCCCTCCTCTTCTCGGCCGTCAGCTTGCGACAGTCCTGTCGACGATGCCCCCGCATCCCACAATGAAGGCACTCTCCGTTGAAGTGCGGCGCCGGAGGAGGTGGGTAGCCATGTCCATCGGGCTTGCCTCCTCAGCCTCCTCCTTGGGGGCTCGAAGCGCCTCTGCCCTTGCCGCCGACGTAGCTGCTCTGGTTCTGGTTGTTGTTCCAGTTCTTGCCGCCGCCGTGGCTGCCCTGGTGTTGGTAGCTATTCCAGTCCTTACTGCCTTTCGGGTCGCTCGTGCCGCCACCTTTGCCTCCTTCGGGGTCCCTAACTTTGTCTTGTTAGGGGCCGCGCCTGTTGTCGCGGCGCTGCAGGGGCCCGATCTCCATGGGCACAGGACCTCCTCCAGTGCTCCTGGGCTCCGTCATGATCTGGCCCGTCGCGTCGTAGCCGTTCGGTCCGTAGACGCAGGACTCGATCATCGACCCTAGTGCCGCGTAGTCTCCTCCTGCCTGGGGCATGCTGTTCCGGATGATCTCCTTCATGGATGTGGGTGCCCAATTGGCCACGACTGCGATCTTGGTCGACTGACTCGCCGTCTCGCCCGTCTCGCGCTCGTAGGCGTCTAGCCTCGTCTCCCATTCAGCCAGCGCCTCCAGGAAAGACCTCGTCATGCAAGCTCCCTCCATGTCGGGCGCCAGCAATCCGATCAGCATGCTCGTCGTCCTCCTTCCCACCTTGCAACATTCGCCAAACGAGGATGCCATTGTGCTTCTCGCACCCCCTTGCCACAGAAAGCGCCTTGCCGTCGACGCTCTGGACGAGCACGTGGTATATGGTCTTAACCAATGTTTCACCTCACGCGACATCCTCTCCATGTCCACCTTCGCGTCACTGTCGACGCTCACCGAGAAGCCAAGCAGGTCCTCGATGTCGACGTTCATGCCCGCTGGCTTCGGCATGAGACCAAAGAAAGACTCCGCCTGGAAACTCCACAACGTCCAGTTCGCATCGGCGCCGTCGCACCTCTTGAGGTTGCCGATGCATCGCGCGTCCACTAAGCCAAGGTCCTGGTACCTCAACGCGTTGCCCATCCGACTGCACTATTGGCCCTGCTCGTCGAGTGCACGCCCAAAGGTCTCGGAGCGTACGTTCCGCTACCACGTTCCGATGTCGATCTCTATCACGATGTTGCGCTTTTACACTGCGGCCACGCGCCGCCACTCTCTGTTGTCTCGCACGCGCTGATTCCAGCATTCTGAGATCTTCACACGCGGGCTCACTCGAGCCAGCCTCTGAAGCCGAAGTGGCTTGAGCCAAAATGGGCCGCAGAGGCTCCAGAAATCCAAACGCAACGCTGGGGGATCGACTGTGGGCCACCAGAATCAACATAGCATATGTGACCCAAAGTGTTGTCCCAAGGGGCGCTCTGCCTTACACCTGGTATACGAGATTATCCTGAACATGTTCGGCCCCCCGTGCGTTTCTTGATAATTCGGCGTTGGGACCGACGCAATGTTAGGTACCCACCTGGGCGGCCTGGACACGTGAAAGCATGTGGTTCCAGATCGGGACATTCAAATTAGAGACCCCACTGGGTGGCCTGGACACGGAAGATCACAATTGCATCCAGCTCTGAGCAACCACGTTAGATACACCCCCTGGCCGCCGCTCGGACGTCCATTCCTTGTTGTTTCGCGCGTGGCTGTTTCGCCAAGCGATCAAGGATGCTCCTCGATGGTCCTCGCCGAGGGAAGAGTGCACACGTCCGAGCGATGCCAAGCCCCTGGGTGGCCTGGACACGCTCAAACACGTGGTCCCCGCTCGGGACAACCATGTTAGATACCCTCCTGGGGTGGCCCCCGCCCTCCCGGGGCCACGATCCCCAACGCGTTGCGCTGGATCCGCGCTCCCAGGGCCCCGAGCCCTCGCGAATTGCGCAGGGCTTGCGCTCCCGAGGCCGCGATCCCTCGTGAACGACGCTGGGCTCGTGCTCCCAGAACCCCCTCTGGACATCCAGCCCAGGCCCATCAAATTTTGCAAGACGCGCGCTTCGCTCGAGACATCCCCGGAATCTCTGCGCGCAGGATGCGCCATCCTCGAGCGGGCACGCGCAACATCGGGGCTCCAAACCTCGTTATTCAGTTGGGATTCTGCGCAGAACGCTTCGCACCCTCTGTTTTACGAGGGAAAGCGGGGGTCTGCGGACTCCATCAGGCAACGAGGATCCGACACGGGGGGCGCATTTTCCTCGAGCGGGCACGCGCGAAACGCATTTTTTCCACGCCGAATGGGACTTTCCCTTATTATTTATCGCAAGTGTTTTGGCCGGCCTCCTTCAATCATGGCACTGGGGGAAGACAAAACTAACAGAGGATCCTGGGCCGACGCCCTTTCGGGGAACACGAATTCCCCAACTGATCAAAACATGCTCAGAACACCGGCCCCAGGCTATGTTTCTAATCATGTTTGAACCTCCTGGGGGCAGCAGGCCCGGCTTGAGGACAGGTATCGATGAAGCGATACCGAGAGGGCGGCTGCTCCTCAAACGCGGGCTCTCGCCCTGGCGCCGCCCAGACTCAGTCCCCGAAGCAGGTGCGAGGGAGAATAATAATAATGATAATAATAATGGTAATAATAATAAACAGAGAAGAAGCAGAAGGGGAAAAAAAAGAAGACGAGGAAGAGGAAGAAGAGAAATAAAAAGAGGAAGTATAATAGGACGAAGAAGAGGAAGAAGAAGAAGAGGAAGGGCGGCTCCGTCTCGAAGAGCGATTCGCTCTTCGGGTGTTCGAGAGGTGGAGGCCTGCAGCCTGCACGTGTGCGGCAATTCGGCGCAGAGCTGGAGCTAAACCGTACGTTCGGTTTTCGCTGTGTCTTCGTTTCCCCTCGCGCTGTCCTCGTTCTGCCTGTGCTGCGAAAGGAGATCAAACCGACAGCGGTCCACGACATCGCCCAGACAACGTTCAGCTCGAGCCCTGGTTCGGCGTTCGCTTAGAATCATGTTGTACTTGACGACCAGCAGCTTGAACAGATGCTACAGCTGGAAGGGTTGATGGCGGTTCGGTTTCGGATATCGTTTGAGACTTCCTCGGCGCTCGTGACCAGAAGTGAACACGTGCGCAAGTGTTACACATACGGGGGCAGTTCTTTTTTCCAAACAGGGAGCTCGCTGGACACCAAGGAGGTGCACTGTATGATCATACATATGCGCACTCCTCATCACTCGTTAAGGATGCAAGCAAGGCGGTTTGTTTGTTCCTGTCTCAAAGCGGGGCTCTCGCCTGAACGGCATGCCAAGATGTTGGTGTTTCAAGAGGGCGTTTGTTCCTTGAAGTGGGAACGAAGACTTGTGAGGACTTCTGGGGAGGGGACTTGGGGAAGGAGGGTGCGTTGTAGCATCTATGGAGCACCTCGGCTTTACTCTGGTCCTCCTATTGCTCATCCTCCTCCGCCTCCTCCTGTCTGGGTGTGGGTGTTGGCTGGGGAATGGGCGGCCCGCTTTGCGGACCGGGATATCACTCGCCACCGCCTGCACCCTCCAGCATTACCACTGCGTTCGTTACGAACCCTGGTGCGCTCGGTTCCCGATCTCCTCCCCATCAATCGTTCAGATTCTCTCCAAATCCAGGTCGACCGTCGGCCCTACCTGAGCGGAACAAGCGGAACGAAACCAACAACCCGAAACCATGGCCTCATGAGAACGCCCGTGCGCCCTTCAGAGACAAGTATGAGTTGGATGGTGTCGGGGTGAAAGAACTCCTCCTCCTTCTCCTCCTCCTCCTACTACTTCTCCAACTTTGCCTCCTCCTTATCCTCCCCATCCCCTCCCCCTTCTCCCTCCTCCTCCTCCTCCTACTTCCCCTCTCCGTCCCTCCCCCCTCTCTCCGTTCCTCTCCCCCTCCTCCTCCTCCTCCTCCTCCTCCTCCTCTTCCTCCTCCTCCGCCTCCTCCTCCTCCGTCTCCTCTTCCTCCTCCTGCTCCTCTCCTGTATCACCAACACGTGTTGCGAAGCCTCATTGCAGGATCGCACTGGCGCCAGCTGCGACTACACGAGCAGGAGCAGACGCTCACCGCCGACTGCCGGCTGCGCTCGGCGGGGTGCGGCAGTTACCTTCCTCGTGCGTTCGTGTGCGCGGCTCTGGCAGCCTGGAGGCCGCATGACCTCTCGGACCCGGTCCAAATTGCCTCTGAAGAGGCCGGCGTCGGCTCCGCGGGCCTGGCGGGACAGGAGGAGGAGGAGGAGGAGGAGGAGGAGGAGGAGGAGGAGGAGGAGGAGGAGGAGGAGAAGCAGGAGGAGAGGAGGAGGAGGAGGGAGGAGGAGGAGAGGAGGAGGAGAGGAGGGGGAGGGGGAGGGGAGGGAGGGGGAGGGGGAGGAGGAGGAGGAGGAGGAGGAGGAGGAGGAGGAGGAGGAGGAGGAGGAGGAGGAGGAGGAGGAGGAGGAGGAGACCCCATGCCGGGGCGTTGCCTCTGTGAGGAAGGCATTGCCAAGGCTGCATGGCACTGCAGGCGGCTGGGCACGGGGGGGTCCCTCGTGCTCGAAGGCGGCTTCGCGCTCTCTCTGACGGCGCATGCCTGGACGCGGATTCCCCAACTGTGCGAGCGGGAAGCTGGACGTTCATGATCGTTGATGCTCCAAGGGCCACTTGTTGGAGGCCTGTACGGTGCGGTGCCGCTCGGCTTGGGAATGCAGCATTCCGCGCGAGACGGCATGGCCTACGCTGTGGTCCAACTGTCCGAACATGCCTTTGGCACCCTGTCCGTGCATATCGATTGCTGTGCGACCATCTCGTGCTGTCAGAGGCCATGGGCCTCGCAGGCTATCACGACTCCTCGTTCGCTCTTCTGGAAGCGGGTGCAGTCAGTCGCGCGAAGACTTTGTACAGAGAGACGTCGTGCACGTGCAAGCCCACGCCTCGGAGAGAGCGGTGTAAGAAAATGACATGTTCCACTTCCATCGTGAGGGTAATGCCATTGCCGACTAGTGGACCAAGGAGGCGGCAGATCTTGCCCACTCGGAGCTCAGGGACGTGAATTTCCTGGAAGGGTGTGGGGCTGTGTTGTCTCAGGTTATCTAGGTATGTTGCCAGGGTCTGGAAGCACATGGCCGATCTTGAGCTTAGAGACCAGTTTGACTGGATGTACCTGAACAAAGATTGATCTTGGGGCTTGGCCCCTCGATGTGCCCTATCCTGAGTCTGATCATGGTTCTGGGGACGAGGCCGTGGAGCCCCTGGAGAACTCGGAATCCAGGCCCTCCGGAGAAGCTACTCCGTGGCTCATCCAGCACCACCAGGTGATCGAGGCGACCGTGGACGACGGCAAGTCAAGGCCCCTGCTGCTTTGCCGTTCGTGCTGGCAGTACGCAATGCTTCCTCGCCAGCGGGGGCTCGACGGCTTGTGTTTCGATGTTCGTCGCCTTGGGTCGCCTCTCCCAGCTCGTCCCGAGGTGGCCCTGCGTGATATGGCCGTTCGCCGTGGCTGGCGTCTCGGGCCCGCTGGGCGGGCCGCTTCGGGGATCCCCCTGGCTCTTCAGCAGCTGCCGCTGCCGCGCGTGCACACGGCTGTAATTAACTTTAACATTAAGGCCTTCAACATTAACTTTTGGCGCTCCGCGCGGATTTCTTGGGCCCTGCGCAGACCCAGGAAATCCGCGCGGAGCGCCAAACGTTTATGTTTATGGTTTCTTCATGGATGATCGTGGCGAGGCAGAGCGGATCGGAGTGCAGGTCCCTGACACCAGGGCTGAGGCGCGCGAGCGGCGCGACGCCCGGCCTGACGATACCTTCGGGTGCTTTTCGGGGGGCGGGGCGCCCTGTCGGCGGGACCCGGCCAAGGCGGAGCGAAGCCTCGGACGGGGAGCAACAGCTCTCCTCGGATGGCCACCCCATTGACTCCTCCTCCGCCTCCTCCTCCGCCTCCGCCTCCGCCTCCGCCTCCTCCTCCTCCTCCTCCTCCTCCTCCTCCTCCTCCTCCTCCTCCTCCTCCTCTTGATTTCCAACGCATAGCTAGCTCGACTCTCCGGCGGCCTCTCGGGACGATCGAGGGCACTCCCGGAACGCCCTCGGCGAGGCGCGGCCGCTGGAAGGCATCCCGAGGCTTGAAAGCCGCATCCTCCTCCTCCTCCTCCTCCTCCTCCTCCTCCTCCTCCTCCTCCTCCTCCTCCTCCTCCTCCTCCTCCTCCTCCTCCTCCCCGAGCGTCCCCGCCTCCGCGTCGACCTCGCCCAGCCTGGGGCCGCCCGTGTGCATGCCCTCCTCCACGGCAAGGCGGGGGAGCCCCCACCCTGCCGCGCGCGCGCCCCGCGACGCTCTCCGCGCAGGGGGCGCCCAGACCGCTTTTCGTCGATGTTCGGCCCTCCTCCTCCTCCTCCTCTTCCTCCTCCTCCTCCTCCTCCTCCTCCTCCTCCTCCTTGTTTTCCTCCTTGTCCTCCTCCTCCTGCTTTTCCTCCTCTTCCTCCTCTTCCTCCTCCTCCTGCTCGTGCTCCTCCTCCTCCTCCTCCTCTTCATTATTATTCGTCTTATTCGTCTTCTTCTTTTTCTTCTTCTTCTTCCTCCTCCTCCTCATTCTCCTGCTCTTCTTCCTCCTCCTCCTCCTCCTCTTCCTCCTCCTCCTCCTCCGCCTCCTCCTCCTCCTCCTCCCCCCCCACAAGAGCAAATTATAATCCAACGGCACACTGTTGGGGCTCGACCACAAGAAACCTTCCGCAAGAAGCCCGATCCTGAGACCCCGGGCGGGTCTCTACACCATCCTCGGGCCCGGGATGGCCTTGGCCTGGCACGGTGGTAGTGTACAGATGCCTTCGTCGAAGCCCAGCCCCGCGCCGCTCTCCGTGCAGGGGGCGCCCAGACCTCTCCTGACACCCCCACAGGAGCAGAGGAGAAACCAACGGCACACAGTAGGGGCTCGACCACAAGAACCCCTTCTCAAGAAACCCAACCCTCAGAGCCTAGGACGTGCATAGATATTTTAGTGTGGGAACGTCACGCTTTCCATAACAAAAACATCGGAACCCAAGAAACCTAGGGCACCCTGGAGGCAAGCAGGGTGTTTCTTGGCATGGGTCTCCACTGTACAGTCGACTCGTATAAGAAGGATTCACGATAAGGGTGCAAAGGCATTGGAAGGCCGCTTCGAAGCTTTTCGAGCGGGGCGCGGCCAGCGGAAGTGGCCAAGGATGGGCCGAGGAGGCAAGGATGAAAAAGGGGTACTCTTGGGATAATTGACCATCCTTACTAAGCGGGTTGACCGTGCAATCAACTTCCTGCAAGGAGGGGCTCCACAGAAGGAACCAAACCTCTTCGGCACCAGGACAACCGTGGGTGCACGAGGAGGGCCAGGAGAACAGCCACGGAATGCCCTGAGGCACAGCGAGCCCCTTCCGAACCCAAATTGGCTCTTCTGTCTCACAATCTTGACTGCAGACATGAGCTTCCGGAGGTCCGCGCCGATAATCTGCGATTGAAGGGGCCCAAGGACACACAAATAAATACACACACAAATAAGCATACTCCCTGCATTTCCCCACATTTGCTGGGTTTCTGTCTTCCCCCCCACTTCCCACTTCCCATGCTGGGCATGCCCTCTTGCAGGCGGCTTTTGGACGAATAGCCAACAAATGTCAAAAAAGAGTCAGAAATGGTAGAAAAATCGTCCCCTGACTATTTTCGTTGGACTATTTTCGAATATTCCTCCTGGGACAGGCCCGACGACATTCTAGCGGCCAGTTGCACCTGCGACGAACACCGCCGCCTGTTACGCACTGCGAGAGCGTGGGGGGGCAGCGACCCATCCCCCATGTGCACCCGCCCCGGCGTCGAGGACCGGCGGCCAGCCCTGGGGGGGAAGAGGAGGAAGAGGAGGAGGAGGAGGAGGAGGAGGAGATCGGCGGCGAGCACGGGGGGGAAGTGAGAAGGGACGGGCCTCCGCAGAAGGCTCGGAAGTCCCCGCGGCCTTCTGAGAAGTGTTCTGAGCCTTCCCCGGAGACGCAGCCAACCTGTCAGAGGGCCGGGGGGCTTCTGAGGAGCCCCGCCGCCTTCTGAGAAGGCCTTCTCCTTCTCGCCGTCCCCCCCTCGCTCGCCGCCGGGGGGAAGTGCCACGCCCTGCCACGCCCTGGGAGCGTGACGCGGACGGCGAGCCCCGCCCCCATGCGCACCCTCTCTGGTGCCGCGGCAGTGTCACCGAGAGGACGGCCCTGTGCAGGAGCCAAGCTGCGCGGCACCCTCCCCGCAAGGGGGCGGTGGCCCGCGGGCGGTCATATACGGGAGCTGGCCTGCGGCGGGGCGCCCACGTGGGCCCGACCACCTCCGACCTCCGATGGAGGCGTCGCCGTGGAAGCGATAAACGCAGGCATCGACTCCTGACTTCCTCCCCATCACCTTGCATCTCCTTGGGACGCGGGCGGGAAAGGAGGGGAGAACTGCGAGGACGGAGCTCAAGACAGGGAGGAAGAGGAGTGGACTGTGGCAGACACCGACATCCGCGATACTGTTCACAGCTGCTCGTAAGGCCTGCGTATCCCACGGATAGCTATCCCCGCGGATATTGATGTCTACACATCTCCTCCACGATACGAATGGACTCCCACGGAGATTCCCAAACAAGATCGAACGATGCGCATAGCGCATCGATGAAACTTGTTGAATTACTCTGATGCTGAATCACTATTGGACGCACCGGCTTGACGACATGTCGCGATGCTGTGCTGTGAACAGCACGGAAGTGAGTACCATAGGAACGGCAATCGCGAATGATACTTGATTGACCAAGCGGGCATGCAGTCTAGATGGCATCACCCAAACGAGAAGCTTCCACGTGCAGGCATGATCAGAATTGTGCCCCATCTTACTGTGCGTGCAAGCGTCGGTCCGATATGATGGTCGCACATAACACGCCGCCTGGCAGACACACACACACACACGCGCGCGCACACACACACACGCACACGCACACGCACACGCACACGCACACGCACACACGCACACACGCGCACACGCGCACACGCACACACGCACATACGCACACACGCCCCCCCTACCACCACACACACACACACAACACACACACAAACACACACAGCACGCACGCACGCACACACACACACACTTACACTTACACTTACACATACACACACATGCACGCACACACGCACGTACGCACGCGCACGCACGCACGCACGCGCACGCACGCACGCGCACGCGCACACGCACGCACACGCACACGCACGCGCACGCACACGCACGCACACGCACGAACGCACGCACGCACACACGCACGCACGCACGCACACGCACGCACGCACGCACGCACACGCACACACACACACACACGCACACACACACGCACACACACACACACGCACACACACACACACACCCACACGCACACACACATTCACAGTCACACACACACACACACATTCGCACACATTCACACACACAAACGCTTTCTGGGCGTCGCGGCCTCGCGCGCAGCGACGAGGCGGAGAAGGTCGAACACAACAAAGTGCGCTAGCGTCTAATCGCTGGAGGCCTTCATGGCCGCTTAGGGTCACACAGCAGCCGGCCGTCATACCCATCTGGGCACACACACACACACGGTTCGCGTCGGCGGCTAGGCAGAGCAACCGCGCCGGCGGAAGGGCTGGCTGAACGGGGGCACCGCTGTAAGCGACGTGTGCCCCAATGCAGGAGAGGGAAGACGGGGAGGGCGGGCGGTCGAAGGGGCACACACACACACGCTCACGCACGTTCCTGGCATGGGCCGCGGTGGCGCGGGCGCCATTCCAAGGGTGGCCAGCGGCAGACTGCATCAGGTCCGCGGAAAGAGCGCCCAGGCAGGGCGGCGGCGTGCAGGGGGCGTGGACGGTGAAGCCTGCGCCCGTGGGCAGCATGCAGCATGCGGGCGCCCAGGATCGCAGGAGCAGACATGGCACACCTGCGGGCTTACGGTCGGGGCGTTGACCCAAGGAACCCAAAACAAGGAACGAGGCCCCTATTTTCCATAAGTTAAACTTCGATTTCATATCGAAAACCCAAGGAAAACAACCTGCGAAAGTCGTAAGGAACGCGGAGCCCCTCCCAAACGAAAATGGTTCTTTCTTCACGGCCCGACTAAACGGTCTATGCGTGTCCGCAAGCGTGCAAGAACGAGCGACTGCTGGCACGTCTGCACCACGTGTCGTCGATTGGATCCTCGGTCCCTGCACGCCTCCTCCTTTCACCGCGCCTCCCCCCTTCCCATCTTTGTCTCAGTCCCTCCCTCCCTCCCAGCCTGCCTTTTACTCGCCCCTTTCCCCCCATCGCTCTCTTCACCCTGCCAATCCTATTGATGCTACCGCTGCTGTTCCTCCTCCTTCTCCTCCGCCTCCTCTTCCTCCTCCTCCTCCCAGTCTTGTTCCCAATCCTCCTCGGCCTCATCTTCTTACTCCTTCCCTCAGCCTCATCCTTCTCCTTCCGTTCTCCCCTGGCTCCTCCTGTTCACCTCCTCCAGGACAGGAAGACAGGCACTGCACCCATAGCCGAGATCCCAAGAGCGTGTTCCTGCAACATCTGCTCATAGCTCTGCAAGTATTGCTCGATGTTGCCTGCCGCGGGAATGCAGATCCATGTATGCGCCTTCGTTCTATCTCTCTCTCTCTTTCTCTGTCTCTGTCGCGTTCTCCCTCTCCACATATCCATCAGTTTTCTTTCCCCAGGATTAGAGCACATTGGTGCTGGCCGATTTGACGCAGATGCTACTGATGAAATTCAAAGTTTCCTCGAGAGCGGTCGCCTCAGCTGAAGCAGACGATATTATTGGTCTATCAACGTACCGTCCAGCCATGCACCATGGAAGCGAACTCCACCCCGCAGGTGTGCACTTCGACGTATCGTTTTTGTCTCTACCTCTCTCCAGATGTGTATATATATATATATATATGTATCGGAGGTTGGGGGGTGAGTCCGACGTGAAACAGAGGCCCCCCCCACCGGGAAATCGATTTCGGTTTCGGGGTCGGGGTCGTGTCGTGCGTGCCGTGCGCGCTTGCGGGCGAGGCGAAGCCGCGTGGGCGGGCGACAGGAAATCCTCCTGTGGCTGGGCCGCGGCCGGACCAAATGTTGCTCCTCCGGCGGCCGGTGCCGCACGCTGTCCCGCCGGTGTCCCGCTAGTGTCCCGAAATCCTCCTGTGGCTGGGCCGCGGCCAAAACAAATGTTGCTCCTCCAGCGGCCGGTGACGCGCTGGTGTCCCGCCGGTGTCCCGCTGGTGTCCTGTGGTGTCCCGTGGTGTCCCGTGGTGTCCCGTTGAGTGAGGTCGATCGTGAGACCGATAGTAAAATCGATAGTGAAATCGATGTGGTGCCGCGAGGTGTCCCGTTGACTGAGATCGATGGTGAGATCGACAGGTGTCCCGTGGTGTCCCGTTGACTGAGATCGATGGTGAGATCGAGAATGAGACCGATAATGAGATCGAGAGGTTTCCCGCGGTGTCCCGCGGTGTCCCGTGGTGTCCCACTGAGTGAGATCGATAGTGACATCCATAGTGAGATCGACAGGTGTCCCGAAGTGTCCTGTTGAATGATATCAATAATGAGATCGATCGTGAGATCGATAGTGAGATCGATGTGGTGCCCTGAGGTGTCCCGTGGTGTCCCGTTGACTGAGATCGATGGTGAGATCGATAATGAGACCGATAATCAGGTCGAGAGGTTTCCCGCGGTGTCCCATGGTGTCCCGTTGAATGAGATCGATAGTGCGATCGATGGTGAGATCGACCATTATCCCGTGGTGTCCTGTCGAGTGAGATCGATAATGAGATCGATTGAGTCAGATGTTGGTTCCCCCCCCCCCCCACAACCTCCTTATCACCCGATGGATGGTCGTATAGGTATCGGAGGTTGGGGGGTGAGTCCGACGTGAAACAGAGACCCCCCCTGCCAGGAAATCGATTTCGGTTTCGGGGTCGTGCTGTGCGTGCCGTGCGTGCGTGCGGGCGAGGCGAAGCTGCGTGGGCGGGCGACAGGAAATCCTCCTGTGGCTGGGCCGCGGCCGGACCAAATGTTTCTCCTCGGCCGGTGGCCCGCGGTGTCCCGCCGGTGTCCCAATGGTGTCCCGAAATCCTCCCGAGGCTGGACCGCGGCCGGACCAAATGTTTCTCCGCCGGCGGCCGGTGGCCCGCGGTGTCCCGCCGGTGTCCCGCCGATGTCCCGACAAGCATCGGGTGGTGCCGCGAGCAGTCACTGTGGCACCGCAGCACGCACGTTCGACCACGTCGACTAGCAATGAGGTAAAGTTCGCGCGATTGATAAGCGCACGCGGGGACAGCGCTTCACGACAATGTCGAGTGCGCTTCGCCAACATCGCCACATCACATCACGCTCACGTGCACAATCACACTACTCACTAGACTCCGCCCAACAGGCATCGTCAGAACAACAATCACCACTTTCGCCCATGGCTGCCCCCCCCCAAACCTCCTTATCACCCGCAGGGTGGTCGTATAGGTGTATGTTTCTTAATGCATCTCTCTCTCTCTCTCTCTATATATATATGTATTTCGGTGGTTGGGGGGTGACCTCGGGGACATCGGTTTCGATTTCGTGACGTGCGGGTGGGCGAGGCGAAGCTACTTTAGCGGGCGAGAAGACTGATCCCGCCCTGGTTAGCGCGTGGCGAAGCTCAATGTCTCTGCTCCCCCCCCCCGTTGGCCGGCAGTGGCCCTGGGGTGTCCCGCTGGTGTCCCGAAGTTTTCCGTGGTGTCCCGTGGCGCGGTGCCCCGCGGTGACCCGTGGAGGTCGATAGTGAGATCGACAGTGAGATCGATTGTGATATCGACAAAATGAGATCGATCATTGAATTGGTAGATCCGCATTAAGATCGATATGCAAATCGATCGTGAGATCGATAGTGGGATCGATTGTGAGGTCGATTGTGAGATCGCTAGTGACATCGATAGGTACACGTAGAGTGAACTCGATAGTGTAGTCAATATGTCAGCTGAAAGTGAGATCAATAGTGAGGTCGACTGCGAGGTCGACAGATAGAGGGGCTGCGGGTAACGAGTTATTTGGGAATCGCACTGTCGCTCGAAACGTTTTTCATGATGGGATGGCGCTTCAGCGACCCGTCCGCTCGACCTGGCCGTTTGGGCCCGCCCGCCTGACCTGCCAGTTAGGATCCGCCCGCCCGACACGCCCGTCTGGTTCTGCCGCTTGTGCTCCTGATCCTAACCCTCCTCCGGCAAATTTCTCTCGTGTTCCATCCTTCTCCCTCCCCCTTGTCTGTTCCCTCCTCCCTTCCTTGCCTTAATTTTCGGGGCTGCGCCAACTACACGCGGCAGGCAGGGAAGATATAGTCCAAAGGGGGGCACGATCGAACACGAAGAGGGCGGGCACCGAGGGTGTGGGATATACGTGTTGAACGGCACGCGGGCAAATAAAAACGACACATCTGAAACTGACTGTTCTTATCGTCGTCCCAGGCGACCCACCCGCGACCCACCCGCGCCCTTTTTGCAACACCCGACCGGCGACCCGCCCGTGGCCCACCCGTGACCCACCCGCGGCCCACCCGCGACGCACCCGTCACCCACCCGCGACCACCCCGCAGCCCACCTGCGGCCCCACTGCGACCCACCCGCGACCCACCTGCCACCCACCCGCGACCCTCCCTTCGACCAACCCGCGACCCGCCCACCCTTCACTCGTATGCACAACTGCGTGATGCATATACGCAGAATCATGAATGCACACGTTTGCCTGTGCCTATACGATCACCCATCGGGTGACAAGGAGGTTGTTGGGGGGAGGGGGCAATTGATGACAACTGCAGTGGCTGTGACGGTGATGACGCTGATGACGAGGAGTTGGCGACGACGCGCGACGACGATGTTGGTGACAATGCGTGATGGCGATGCACGGCGGCCATACTAGTGACAATGCATGTGGCAGTGGCGATGCGTGGCGGCGATGCTGGTGATGAGCGGGACATCGCAAAGGGGCAGCGCGCAACAGTCGCAGTGCATCAATTTGGCTGGCAGAGCATGGCTAGCGGCATCACGCACCCGCTATGGCGCACTTACACAGGTGATTGCGTCACCACCGCGGTCGCAGGCGAACACATGCCACTTCCAGTACTGGAGGTGGCCCTGATTTGCCTGCGACCCCTGTGGCGCGCCAAATGGTCCAAGGAAATTTCGCACAGCGGCGAGTGATCCCTGTGGCGCAGTCTGAGGTAGTTCAGCACCCACCTCACATTCGATGCCACTACCTACCGACTTCGCGACCAATGGATCCCACTGTCGATGTCACTGGCGATCTCACTAGAGGTACCACGATCGAGCGGCCTGAATATCTATCGAGCTCGATCTCCATCGGACCCAAGTTCCGTCAGTCCCACTACCTATGCCTCGATGTCTCTATCGACGTCACTATCAATCCCACTATCGGCCTCCCTGTGTATCTCATTGGCGATCGGCTTCTCTATCCGTCGATGTCATGATCGATCGATCTCACCATCCAGCGATCCCATGCCTATCGATCGGTCTTTACACCTGCGCCGATCATTGGGCCACCGCCGCCATCGCGGGCCAACCAGTGCCACCTCCGCTGCAGGAAGCGTTATTCCACACACTATGAGGACATCCCGCGCGAATTCGCGATTCTCGAATACATGTGCGAGGAAGCATCAGGCGGGAGCCGTTCTTGTTGCACGTCGGAGGCCAGAGGGGCTCAGTTTGGTGACCCCAGCCTTCCCCCGATAAAGAACAGGGTGCGAGCCCTGGGAAAGGCTACCTCAGCTGCAAAAACAACATAGTTACCGAAAGGGCGAATACAACAATCAGTTTAAGGGCTGCTCGCTCTGATCTGCCGGGGGGGGCACCCAACACGTATGTCCCACACCCTCGGTGCCCACCCTCTTCTTGTTCGATCGTGCCCGCCTTGAAGGTATATCTTCCCTGTCTGCCGCGTGTGGTTAGTGGGCGCAGCCCTTCAAATATGGGAAGGAGGGGGAGGGGAAGAGACAAGGGGGAAGGAGAAGGATGGAGCACGAGAGAGATTTGCAGGAGGAGGGTTGGAAGCAGCAACATAAGCGGCAAAATCAAACGGGCGTGTCGGGCGGGCGAACCCTAAGTGGCAGGTCAGGCGGGCGGGCCCGAACGACCAGGTCAAGCGGATGGGTTGCTGAAGCGCCAACCCATAAGGAGGGCAGTTTCGAACGATAGCGCGATCCCCAAGTAAATCGTTAGGACATCCAAAGTGAGAGCGTGACTCATGAGTTTGGGGGGCACGGCGCCGCAATACATTGTGAGGAAGTACCACGCGACAGCGCGACCCCTGGATAATTATGAAGACGTCCCGCGCGAGATCGCGAATGCTTTGAAATACATGGTGAGGAAGTATCAGGCGGGAGCCGTTGCTGTTGCTGCGGTTACTGTTGTTGATGCTGCTGTTGCTGTTGCTGTTGCTGCTGTTGTTGCTATTGTGGTTGTTGTGGTTGTTGTTGGGAGGCCTGTTTCGGCGCACCCCCGACACGTCTGAGCGTAAGCCTAATCCACACATTGAACGCAGCTGACGCCGAGGCGAGAGCGCCAGTGCGGATGTAGGCCGTCCCATAATCAGAATCATCTCATACTTAAGGTTCAAGATGGATCAGGGAAGCCACACTATGTACAATTGGTGCTACTTATATGTTGGATCTCTCTCTCTCTCTCTCTCTCCCTCTCCCTATCTATCTCTCTCCCTCATGCACTTGTACCGAACCACCATCGCGGCGCGTCGGGGAATGCTACAATGCCCCTGGTGCTGTCGGGTAAGACTCCTGTGGTTTTCCAGGCTCCTCCTCACCAGAGAGTCCCTTTCAATACCACTTCCCCATGGATTTTCTCTTGAACGCTAAGACGATAGACGACCAATAACGGTCCGAATGCCGCTCCCAGGGGGGCCTCAAGATGGCCCCATAAATGACTTAAGCAAGCAATCCCCGAGATGGAACACCAGACTGCCCCAGAGGACCCTGGCGCAGACCAGCCCGAGGCGGCCCCTAGACCAGCCAGAGGCGGCCCATGGCCCCGAGACAGCCCCAACACACCGCAAGACGGCTACAAGACAAACAAAGATGCCTCCGAGACACCAAAACTCGCGGCCAGTTCGGAGCTATCGCAACCTTAGATGGATGCAAGAAGCATTCACAAACCATCTTGTAACCATCGCGGCCACGCAAGGCCCATCCCTGGTTCTGATGAGAACACACGGTAATGAACGCACAGGGATGTACGGGGCGCCGTCGCCGTCTCAGTGCAGTCCAGGACACTGTGCGAAGACTCTCGAACGTGACAACCGCATCCAGGAGCTGCATGCCCCTCTCCATCCCTCCTTCCGGCCGTGCTGCCAGGAAGCTGGAAACGCACACGGCTGGAACCGCTCGGGCACAACACGCAGGGATCAAGCACTGGATGCACCTGCGGAGAGCAACCATGCCTGCCTGGGAGGGCCGAACGCCGGAACGACGCGCGGCCGTACGTGCATCGCGCTGTCGCCCGGGCCGGCCACGCGTCATGCGCCATTCTCCATCCTCTCGGTGGCCCTGGGCCAAATGTGGAGGCCTCCTAGATGGGGCCCGAGTAGATGGGGTCGGAGGATCGCGCCGCCACGCCGACACATCGGCGCTGCATCGTCGACGTGAAGCAAATCGGGCTCCGCCTCGAGCCGCATCGGCGATGCATCGGCGATGCGGAGCGATCCTCCGACCCCGCCTGCGCCGACCCCCGTCCAGGAGGCCCAGAAGAGGGCCACCGAGGCCCAGGTCCCCGCGGGTCTCCACGGAGAGGCCCCCAGAGGCCCCTGGGAGGTCCCTGCGAGGGCCCCCGGCTGTCTCCTGGGCGACCGCGCAGGGAGGCTCCTGTCTGCCACTGAGAGCAAGCACTGCGACTGAAGGCAGACTCAGGTCGGGCGTCTCCTCCTACAGGCGGAGTTTCAGCGAAACATAGAGTGAGTCGAACATAGGCGACAAATATCCAGAAGTACCGAAAAAGTCGTGCCCAGACTATTTGTTTGACTACATTTGCAGATTCCTCCTGTAGAGGGACAGACCCGACTGAAGGGCAGATGTGTTTCCTACTGACGGCATACTGGTTCTCCGGGCTGACGGCCACCGTTTCTCACCAGAGGCCACCGATGCCTGGCTGGCGAAACAGACCGCCTTCGGTTGAAGAGATGCCTTCGGACATGTCTGCCTTTCGAGGCCTCCTGTAAGGGGTCAGAGCAGATGGGGTCGGAGGATCGCATCGCATCGCCGACACATCGCTGATACATCGGCGACATCGGCGATGCATCAGCGGCGCCAGCGCGGAGAAAATCGGGCTCCGCCTCGAGCCGCATCGCCGATGCATCGACGATGCGGTGCGATCCTCCGACCCCGTCCGCTCGGACCCCCTCCCCCATCCGGGAGGCCCAGAGCCTCTTCCCTCCCTCCCCTCTTCGCTCCTGCGCGCGCGCTGGCAAGAGGGAAGGCCGTGCCATAGCCATTTTTGTTCAGGCCGTCTGACGAGCCGGCGAGGCCAGCGAAAGCTCACCACAGCGCGCCTGCAAAACAAGCCATCACGCACATCACAAGTTTGAGATCGTCAATTGTTGTATTGTGAGTCGGCCCAAGACGCCCACCTCGCCATCGCTCGGACGTCCATTCCCTGTGTTTTTTGTCGGTTTCGTGCGTGTTTTTTTCGGCAAATGGTCAAGGATGCTCCTCGATGGTCCTCGCCCAAGGGCAAAATGCACACGTCCGAGCGATGCCAAGCCACCGGTGCCTAGAACACCCGCTCCCCGAGGGTTCGCTCCCCGAGGCCCCCGGAGCGGGCGGCCACCGAGCGCCCCTCCCCGCGTCACCCCCGCCAGTCGCAGCGAGAGAGCAGCCGCGGCGCGCGCGCGCGCTGCCGCCGCCCGCGAGGAGCTCGGCCAGCTCTGGGTTGCCCCGCATCGCCGCCTGCTTGGGGCGTCCGCCGAGGCGCCCCCGCGAACGCCGCCGCCGTGAAGTACGTCTATATGTATATGCGTACGTACGTACGTACATACATACATACACGCATACATACATACATACATACATACAAACATACATACATACATACATACATACATACATACATACATGCATGCATGCATGCATACATACAAACATACATACACATACACATACACATACACATACACATACACATACACATACACACACATACATACATACATACATACATACATACATACATACATACACATACATACATACATACAAACATATATGCACACATACATACACACATTCACACATACGTACATACATGCATGCATGCATGCATGCCTATATACATACATACATACATACACACATACATACATACATGCATGCATGCATGCATGTATGCATACATACATACATACATACATGCATACATGCATACATACATGCATGCATGCATACATACATGCACACACGTACATTACTTACACACGTACATCCATACATGCATACATACCTACAGACAGACAGACAGGCAGACAGGCAGACAGACAGACCGACACACATACACACAAACATTACATACATTACATGACATTATATTACATTCCATTCCATTCCATTCCATTCCATTACGTTGCATTCCATTACATGCATACATGCATGCATGCATACATACAGACATACGTCCATATATACATACACATATTTGTACATACATACATACATCAGTCCATCCATCCATCCATCCATACATCCATACATACGTATGCATATACATATACATATACATATACATATACATATACATGTACATATACATATACATATACATATATATATGTACACATACACGCATACATACATACATACATACATACATACATACATACATACATACATACATACATGCACACACACATACATACATACATACATACATACATACATACATACATACATACATTACATACATGCATCCATACATGCATGCGTACATAACATAGGCATATGTATATGTATGTGTACATGTTTACATTTGTAGATGTACACATCTACACATACAAGCATACATATACTACCATACTCCCTGGTCCCCGGGCAGAGAGAATGGGAGCCGCACATCTAAGGCATACACACGCTTTTGCCCCAACCCTGATGTTCATACTTTGTTGAACGTCTCACGCTCGCGAACCTATCGCGAATCCGCCCCCGATCCCCCTGGCATGTGGAGGCGTGGGAGGATGCCAAGGGCTGTCTGGCAGGGCTTCTGCAATGCCAGAATGGACCGCCCTCCCTCTACCAGCAGACTCTTGCGTGTACCCCCCTACTCACCGAGGCCATTTTCCTCGTGCCTGCTCGAGGATGGTACACTTACAGCATGGCAACTTATGCGTGAACCCCCCGTTCCACGCGTGCTCGAGGATGGTGCATCTCCCGCATGGCAGCTACTGCCTGAACCCCCCTCCATGCGTGCCCGCTCGAGGATGATACACTTCCCGCACGGCAGCTAATGCTTGAACCCACCCATCCACGCGTGCCCGCTCGAGGATGATGCACTCCCCGCACGGCAGCTACTGCCTGAACATGCGCGCCCTTCATACAGCACGAGCATTGCGCACTTCCAGCATGGCTGCTGCCTCCTAGACCCTTCATCCCACGCGGACCCGCTCGAGGATCGTGCATGTTTGCATTCCCAAGCGCTCCAACGATGGATCTGCGCCCCGAGCTTCCAAGAATGCTCGTGCAGGCAACCAAGGGCACCAAGATGGCACAAGATGGCTCGAACACGGCCCAAGAGAGCCCCAAGGAGGCCGAACACTGTTTCAAGACGGCCCAAGATGCCCCCAAGAGGTCCACAAGAGGACCTCCAACAGGGTCCGAAAAAACAAATTTCATTGTCCTTTAGATGTTTGAAATGATTGTCGCCTCCTCGCCTTTCCGGGCTGCCGCAAGCTCAAGACTGCTCAAAAGGACTCAACGATGGCCCAAGAGGCATCCAAAACGGCCCCAAGACGGCCTCACCTGGGATCCAAGACGGCCATAGAAAGCCCTTCGCAAGACGGGCCACAAATCCCCACAACATGGCCAAGAGGGCCCCAAGAGAACCCCACACCGGAGTAAGAGGAGTGTGATAGGGGGGGGGGGATAGATGAAGATGTCAAGGTGAGTTACGTCTGGCCTGATGCTACCTGCTTGGAAGTGGGTGACTAGTGCCCTACATGGCTCGGGGGGGTAAGATCACTCCGCCAAGCGGGAAGAGCCAAAGCAGCCCAGTCGCCACTTTCTTTGCATTCTTGCAACCCACTTCCACTCATATCGCCCTTGCCCCATTAGCGACCTTCGCGGTTCAAATGATTCCCGGGGGTCGCGAAATCAATCGATGGGCATGCAGCTGTGCCGAGGTGCCCAGAAGCTGGGTGCGGCGCGGGACATTGGGCGTCACCAAGGTGTGCCTGGCCCTGATTTCTCTCCGAGACATAATCGTTTAGTGGGCGTCTTTTGCTGCCAGCACATCTGGAAAAGAGGACGAGGAGAAGAATGAGGAGGAAGAGGAGGAGGAGGAAGAGGAGGAGGAGGAGGAGACGGAGGAGGAGGAGGTGGAGGAGAAGGAGGAGGAATATGAGGAATATAGGGATGATAATGAGGAGGAGGAGGAGGAGGAGGAGGAGGAGGAGGAACTCCATAAGCCTTTTGAGGTCTCCGCGGGGACCTGTGAAGACGGCCCTGGAAGAAGAAGCACTGGACTGAACATAAACTATCGGATGTCCATGTGGACTTCTCGGATCGGCGCTGACCCCCTGGCGGCGCCTTTGGCGTCGCCCCTGGCGCGCTCCGCACCGACCCAGGAAATCCGCGTGGCCATTCGAAGCATCAGTTGTGTGTATTTCCCTTCTTCAAACGACTCGCCCACTTGGCAGGCCCAAATGCGATGCTTGCTGTCGCGGTGGTCATTAGAGAGACGCGTCTACACTCGCAAAGCGGGCGCTCTGCCTGAGAGCTCCCGCCCTACAGAGAAGCTGGAAAACGAGGGCGTTGGAAATTATATCAAAATGGAAGTGACCAAAGCTGGGATAGAAGGCAAGGACCCAAACGAGCCCGGAACAGCTGAGACGAGGTCGCAAGGGCTGGAAAGACACGAGCCAGCCCGACCAGGGCCGCAGAGAGTGGGAGGACCAGCCCAAGCAACTGGCTCCCACTTGGCTGCCCCGATACGCAGGATGCAGCCGGGAGCGTGCTGACCCGGAGCTCAGCACGTGGACTGAAGCCGCACGCCTGATGCGAAACGCTCGCCAGCACGCAGGCTAATACGTTGAACCAGCACGCGGCACGTGGACACGCGACGTGCTGCGTGTCTGCACGGGCGCACCTGGGCAGCTACTCTGTTTCACCTCGCCCGTGCCCTCTCGTGCCCCAGCCCTCAGGGGCGGCGGCCATCCTGGCAACCGCCACTGACTGGCACGGCTGCAGTCTGGAAGTGCTCAGAGCCCATCCACTGCCGTCCTCCATGGGATCACGCCTCGAACTCGGGTCCCACCGATATGCCACGACAACTCTGTTGGTCAAAAGCCTCCAAGGACCAAACAGCAGTGTTTGTTACTGTTCTCTCTCTCTATCCTCTCTCTCTCTCTCTTTTTTTGCCTCACTCTCTCTATCTCCCTGTCGCTCTCCGTTTCTCTCTCTCTCTCACTCTCCCTCTCTCTCCCCGTTTCTTTTCTTGTTCTCTCTCTCTCTCTCTGTCTCTCTCTCTTTTGTTTCGGGGAGCGAACGGCGTCGTCCCGTATTGTGACTGCTGGCAATCCTTCAGCAGATCACACGCAGAATGCAACCCTGAAGGTTCGGAGACTCTGGGCCGGGCGTTGCCAGAAGGCATCCTGACACATACAACCCCGAGATTTCCAATGAGGCCCTCACGGCCTCAGAAGCACCTCTCACGAGGTCCAGCGTAGAGGAACAAAACACAGGAGCATAAACTTCTGGAGGCCCAACATAGAAGAACAAAACGCATGAGCATAATTTCTTGGATGGGCGATGGACGCCCTCCCTGGCGAGCGGAGCGCGCCAGGGGCGGCGCTGGAGGCGCCTCCAGGGGGCCCAGCGCAGATCCTTGAAATCCGCGCAGACGGCCGAACATTTATGCCTACGCCGCTACTTCTTGTTTGACGGGGGGGCACAAGTAACCAGCCTCGAACGTATCCCTATCCCTAAGATGGGCGAGCAAAAAGCGAGGACAATCTTAGGGATAGGCCCTCAGAAACTGAGGGAATCCTTGAGATCGGCATCGAGGTGAGGTGCTGTCAAACATAGGGATAGGGATATGTTTCAAACTGGTAAACAAGGGTTCCACCTCAGGGGTTCCAGCATTGATCGAACGTCGTGGCCCAGGGGCACCACTACTTGAGTCACCGCGGTGGTTGCTACCGGGCTAAGGGATTATGGCACTAGAGAGAAACCCCAATCAGTGGATGATTTGAAAAGTAGTGATATGGATATTGAGATCGATTGTGAGATCGATAGTGGAATCGGAATCGATAGTGAGGACGATTGTAAGGTCGATAATGGGACCAAGAGTGAAATCGATTCAATGAAGTCGATAATGAGATCGATCGTGAGATCGCTCGTGCAATCTATAATGAGATCGGTTGTGAGATCGATAGAGAAGTGGGTAATGAGATCAATGGTGACACCGATCGATAAGATCGACCAAGAACCCAAGAACCCGGGAACCCCGCCGCCCACCGAAATCGGCCTGGAACCGAGAACCCAGAAACCCGGGAACCTGGCCGCCCACCGAAATCGCCCGGCACTTTCGCCAAATCCTTCGGACCCCTTCAGTGCAAGCACTGATTGGGGAATATCCGCTAGGACCCCTTCAGTATACAGTGGGGGCCCAACCACAAGAAACCTTCCACACGAAATCCAGCCCTGAGACCCCAAGACGTCCGTTGATTTTTGGTGTGGGAATCTCACGCTCTCCATATCAAAACCGTCGAAATCCAAAACACGCAGGGCACCCTGGAGGCGAGCAGGGTGGTTCTTGGCATGGGCCTCCACTGTAAGCTAGGCTAGGCCAAATATGAGCTACGTAAGCGTCCACTCAGAGCCCTCCCGTCCCCTTAGCAACTGACGCGGTGATTCAAGCGGGGACGTCTGGGACCCGGGACACCTCTGGCAACCCCCTCTACCCAAAGGTACCGATACTGCCACTCCCCGGACCTCTCCAAGTGCGCGTGCCGATCAGGATCTCGAAGCGAAGCCAACCGTAGCGACGAGGGCCTCCCCGGAGGCCCAGAGGGGCGCAACCGAGGCCCAGGCAGCGGTATTGGTGCCTTTTCCCCTCTGGCCGGGAACAGAGGCATGCGGCCAAACGCGCGCATGCGAGACGGAGCTCGGACGCTGCGCCGGAGGCACCTGCCGGCAAGCCTTCGGCAGACGCCCCGCGGGGAGCAGACGCGTCCCCTGCCCCGCTCCAGGAGCAGGGGTGCCGCAGCTGCTCATCTTCCTATCGCGCCACTTGCTCTGCTCGGGGGAAGGGGCAGGGCAGGGGGGAGGCGAAGGCGCAATCCTGGGAGGTCCTGGTGGGAACGATGAAGGGCGACTAAGCAAGATAGGAACGCCACTGAACCGAAGTAGCCCATACTCGGCCCGGAATTAAGCCCGCTTGAATAATCCAGATTCGGCGGGGGTCCGCGGAGTTTGGCGGGATGATACCGGATTAGGCCTGCTTCTGACCACGTGCATGCCAACGCCAATGATGACTTCAACCTCCCCGAAGTTGCATCCTCAGTGAGGGGAGGGGAGGAAGAGAAAGGGGGGAGAACCAGTCTGTAGGCAGCGACCAGGCCCAGCGGCACCAGTTCGGGTATCCGACAGCGACCTAGGGCCGTAGACAAGTATCGTGTCATGCACGAGTCGGCGAATCCACGCTAAATGTATTCTCGAGTGGCGAACGTATGCAGATCCGCGCCCTCGCGGTCAAGATTCTGGAGCGCGGTGCCGTGAATGCGCGGTCGCACGGATACGTTCTGCGCGCGGGGGGGGCATCCGCGAAGAAGCGCCCCGTATCCCTGGGCTTGCGGCCCAGGGGCCCAGCCCGCGAGACCGCGGGTGTGCATATGCTTCCCGCCCACGATGTCTTATGGACTGCACGCAGTGCTAGAGACTGCTGCAGATCACCATGCCACGCCAGCCCGGGTGGGGCCCGGGACTTGTTCTCTGCACGTGCAGGCGCAAAGCTGATGTAAAGAATGCGCGGTAAGAGGATGCCAGGGCCAAGGAAGGCCATGCAAACATTTTTCGAGCGGGCCGCGGCCAACGCATGTGCCCAAGGATGCGCCGAAGGGGGAAGAAATGCCAGGGCTACCTTGGAGCGTCGCTCATCCTTAGTATCGGTGCTGCATGCACTGGCTGCGCGGCCGAGGACACCCGCGTCGGACAAGAGGCCGCCGTCCGACGCGGGGCCCCCTGAACCGGCACACGTGGTGGACCAGGGCCGTGGCAAATCCACCTAGAGAGATCAGAGAGAACATGGAGAAGGCTTCGACTCGCGGCCGCAGTGTCCGCGGGCGCGCCCGTGAGGAGGAGGAGGAGGAGGAGGAGGAGGAGGAGGAGGAGGAGGAGGAGGAGGAGGAGGAGAAGGAGGGGCCCTGACCACCGCTTACAACGGCCGTGCAGGCATCCCCTGGCGAGGCCTCGGGGCCCGCTCCGTTGGCGGGCCCCTGGCCTGCCTCGCTAGGGCACGGCCGCCGCGTGCTCCTCGCACCCGCCGGCGGGGGTGAGGCCGTGGCTGTGCCACTGCCCCTCCTCCGAGGACTCCGCGTCCCAGGACTCCCCGCCCGTGCCCGAAGACGCGGTGTCGGCGTCGCCGAGGAACGGTCCGCCCGCCTTGGGCCCGAGCGGGGCCCCGGCACTCTCCGGCGCATGCCACGCCACCTCCTGGTTCCAGAGCTTCGCGTCCCTCAGGCTGCCGTGGAACTCCTGTCCGGCATAGAGGTAGTGGCCACCAAGGATCATGCGCGGCCTGTCCTGTCGCAGAGGAGCCATTCCCTCCTCGTTCTCCCCAACGAGCGCGCCGTCCTTGAAGACCCTCATATGCCCCGAGGGAGTGACCGTGCAGAGCATGGTCACCTCTGTTCCGAGCTCGAAGAAATTACTTACGACCACGCTGAACGGCTTCTTGCCTCGAAAAACGGTAAAATGCAAGTCGTTCGTCAGCCCGACAGCCCCGGCCGTGATGCTGTCTTCGTCGGCAGTAAGGGAGAAGTCGAACACGCGACTCCAGCTGCCCGTGCCATCCATCCTCAAGGTGCACATGAACGAAAACGCCCCGCCCATCCGGACGGCACTGTTCGGGGCGTCGAGCGCCAGGTTGAACGGCCCCTCCACTGCGAGCGCACCCGAGTGCTCCAGCAACGGCTTCGTGCGGGCGAAGTGGGGCGCCAGGGCCGGGCCTGCGGCTACTGGGGTTCGGGGCCGAGGGCCCGCGCTGGCGTCCGCGGCGTCCGCCATGCTGTCTGCCGCAGCAGAACCTTGAAGAACGCGGCGCCCGAAAGGGCCGGATTCCAGCAGCCGCTCGAGCGCTCGAGCCAAAATGGTCGCGGAGGCTGGTCTCGACGATCTTGCCCTGGCGGCGCTCTACCGTCGACAGCCTCCTCGGCAGAGTGGCCCGTTTCAGAACGAACTGGCGAAGCGTGCGGTTACGAACTGACGACGTTTCAAATCAAGCGATACACGGGCTCCGCGGCGACCTCCACTACACATTGCTTATGTCACAAGCAGTTTCGCGACAGCAGGTCCCTGTTGCGCTCGTTGGAAGACTGATTAACACATGAAGAAGTACTTTCCAAGTGCACAATACTACCCACGGCCTGATGCGCACGTGCTACTGGCCATCGCTCGGACGTCCATTCCCTGTTTTTTTTTGGTTTCGTGCGTGGTTTATCTCGCAGGATGACCCAGGATGCTCCTTAAGAATCCCCGCCGAGAGAAAGTGCACACGTCCGAGCAAATACCAAGGCTAAACACTCTTGATAACCAGAGCCTGCCCCCAAATATCTGCTGAGAGGAGCACGCGCTCGTACGCTTCGATGGTGGAACACGAAATGCTGCTCAATAGCACCTGGTAGTACTAGGAACGCACGATAATATATCTAGCTCATAGAAATATTGGGGCACATTGTTCGTTTATCTCTGACTGTCCAATTGTGCCCCATCGTTTCTGTGGGTTCCTCCGGCTATTGGGGGATACGACATTTCCGTTTGGCACATGGTGGCAGGCCAACTCCTTGTTCGACGTTTCTGCTGTACGGGAGAGGGCGTAACGAAGTACACCGGCCCCCATGGGAAGCATCGTCGGCCACCCCGCCGCGAGGCGGGAATGTTCAAGTCTTCAAACTTCCCTCGGGCTCTCTGCGTGCCTCCTGCGGTTCGCCAGCGCTTCCCGCACGACTTTCCCCGAGCCCATCGGCGCCCCCAGCACGGGCAACGAGGGCCCCCAGGACAAGCACGGTGGTGACGGGCTGGGCCGAAGGCCCGCAGGGCAGCCGTCTCCATGTCGCCTTGCCACAGGGGTGCACGGCGTGCGAGATTGCAGGACGTTCAAAAATTTGGGGGGATCCCCCCTGGGGTCGGGGATATACGGACATGGGTCAACCAAGCGTTACAAGATCCCATAGGATCCCGTAGGATCCCGTAGGATCCTGCAGAATCCCGTAGGATCCCGGGACTCGGGTCAATCAAGCGTTGCAAGATCCCGTAGGATCCTGCGGGGTTCTGCAGGCCAGCCCGGGCCAACGCACCCAGGTCCTGCAACATCCGCCGCTTTGGCTGATCCCCGTTTGCACTGAACCCCGTCTCTTGAGCCCCGACGGGGACTTCGGCACAGCGAGCCGGCCGCCCAGAAATCCACCGAAAAATGCAAGGGTCGTGCGTTGTCGGCCCGGGACGGCGTCCAATACGACCCAGGGACGGCCAAGATGACTTCCAAATTCGCCCAAGACGATCCAAAGTGGCCTCCAAGACGGCCCCGGAACGTCCCAAATGCCCCCCCAAGTCCGCCAATGACGTCGCCAAGACGGGGTGAGTCCCTCCCGGAGAGGGCCCGGCTCATGGTCCAAGGCTGGCGTGGCCTCCCGAGTCTTCCGAGGCGCGGAGCATGAAGAAGAAAGCCACCGAGATGGCGGCCCGCTTGGCGGCGTCCTCGGCCCTTTCCGTGGCCAGCTTCCTGCAGAGCCAGGCCAGCAACTCCGCTGTGACCGGGCGGTTCCGGTTCTGCTCCGCCGCTGGCCGGCCGGGGTCTCCGAAGACCAGCAGGAGGCGGGGGACCAGCTCCAGAGGTCCGGGTGGCCCGCCGCCGCGCGATCGCGTCGGACCGCCATGAGCTTGTGGCGGGCCGTTGCCTCTGACCTCCTCTGTGCGTGTGGCGGTTGGACGACCCTCGTCCTCCTTCCTGCCCTCCCTGCCCAGGCTGGTCAGGCACGGGCTCTGCCCCACAGCCCGCAGGAACAGGAGCCACTGCCTCCAGCCGGTGGCGTCGGTCGGCCGCGAGCCCTTCGAGAGGTTGCCGAAGATGTAGCATGTAGCCGGGCCGCTGGATAGTTATACGATCCACGGGGGTGACTGGCGGTCGTTTTCTCATTCATTGTTTTGCCTTAGCTGGGCGTTTCCCCTCCCCTCTGACACCACCATTGTAATCGGCCCATGGGTGCTGTTCCGACGACGAAGTCGACAGCGACACCCTAGGCGTGTATGATGTAATCACAGCACTATGGATATTGATACGTATTTGCCCACAGAATGCCATCGATTCAGGGTGGTCGTTTTCTTATTTATTGTTTTGCCGATCGGCGCAGGCCCTCGCACCCTCCCCCCTTCCCCCCCCGTGGAGTGGATCTTGGCTTTTTTGGGCGGCGCCTGGAGGTCTTCGTGCTGCGAACCGTTTGTTGCAAGGAGACGCCATCCTGTCGCAACCCCTCCTGCGCGAGGAAACATTGATATCCACATGCCTGGGGAGCCGATGCCCTGGGACCCCACTGGCGGTGGCGCATATACACATACAGATCTGGGCCCCCCAGAAGGCCCGAGCATGTCCATATCCACCGCCTGCCAAGGTCTCCCAGAATCGATCCGCCAGACGTAAATTATGGATACATTCCCGCCTCGGCCGTCCATAGTATTGTGCAGTTTCTCGCGTCGCGCTGCAAGCTGCGTGCTGCAAGGAAACGACTTCCTCTCGCAGCCCACCTTGGTTAGGAGTGCGCCGCTGTCAGGCTTGGTCACTCTTCGGGGGCGTCATAGAAAGAACCGTCCAAGGGGCGGGGGTCGCAAATCACGGGCCGAGGCACGTGCGCGGCCGCGAAGGGGGCAGGGCAAATGCTGTAAGAAACATATTCAAGAAAACAGAAAAGGGGGCGTGAAGTCTGGGGAGACAAGGCAGCCGTGGCCATGGTGCACTCGGAACTGATAGCAAAGACGCACGATAAGGATGCAAGCCCCGTTGATGCCCATGTCGAAGTTTTTCGACCAGGGCTGGCCTTCGACAGCGGCGGCGGATGCACCGAGGAAGCAAGGATGCAAGGGTCCCCTTTGGGAAGTTGCCCAGTCCTGCCACCGCTTTTGACTGTATCTACGCCCTCGCCTCGTCTTCCCCCCCCCCTTGGCCGCCCCCGAACTCGGTCTCTCCCGCCAAGGGCCACTCTAGCGCGCGGCCGGCGCGCGCGCCGCAGGGCCAGCCGGCAGAGGCGCCTCCAGGGCGGCGGGGTCCATCGCCGCCGCCGCTCTGGCGCCGTCCTGCGGCAGCGCGAGCGGCGCGAGCGCGCGTGCGGGGGCGAAGCCTGGCACCTCCGCGTCCTGATCGTCGTCCTCGTCATCGTGCAACTATGATAAGAGTTTGCTTCTTTGGGGACAGCGATACTTGAGCCAAACGCCGCTGGCGGGAGCAAGGTCGAGTTTGCAGAAATCCTAGCATGAACCTGCTGCCTGACTCCTGGTGTCGTTGCTATCGTGTGCCCCTCCCGAGTATCGAAGGCAACATTCTTACACCCCCTTGGGCCGGCGCCGGCCTGTTTAAATGCTGGAGTGCAACATTACAGCAGACGATCGACCAGCTGGATGAACAATGGGCTGGCACAGGCATGCAACAAAAAAGGCAAAACAATAGAACATTAAGACAAGGATAGCAGACGCTACAATACGCCTTGTGGAAAATCCCATCGCGTAAAATAGTTGAGCGTAAAGCTAATGCACGTAGAAGGCGATCGCGATATGGGCGTGCACGTGTAGGGGCCTCCGAACAGGCGGTACGCTAGTCTTGAATGTCGCAAAACACCAGGTTATGTGTGGGCGTGGGCGTGGGCGTGTGGACGTGCACCGGGATTTCAAATGATCCTGAACACGCGTCTCCGACAGAGCGGCACGTGACGATAACACGATCATATATATATATATAAGAAAGAGAAAGAGAGAGAGAGAGAGAGAGAGAGATGAAGCTGAGATTCCGTAGCGAGCGCCAGCTCGTGTTTTCCTTTAATCATGCGTTGATTGGTACAACGCGCATGTATTAACATGCTGTCGCGGCTCGCGGTTTTTGCCAGTGCATGGGCAATGTCCTCCACAATTCCTACTTTGATCGCTTTGATGCCTCCTACCGGTCCCTTCTCTTGTGTAACCAAAGCTGGCAAACCTCGACGTGCCTGACATTGTCCGAACCCTCGCCAGCCAGCAATGACAATGGCGACGCTGGCATTGGTTTAAAATGGGACGCCACCATCAACACCGAAGTCCTTGAGATCTGTCCGTAGCCCCACCGTTGCTCAGCCGCCTCATCACGATTCCACAATACTCTGGTTCTCAAGAAAGAACACGCCACTACACCCCGAATCGAAATCAACATTATCAAACGTGATCCCCGCATTACTGTTCCGCCGTTCGTTGACTTGGGTGCGTTCTTGCGGTTGGCGTGGTCGGTATAAGTCCATGCGGATACCTCTTTAGGGGGCTAATGATGCAAATGATGATGCCCGCGCCTGTCGCGGTTCTTGAGATGCTTGCCCAACTGCGCACGGATCCTCGATGCCCCCCGTTTGGGGGCCGAGGTAGGGCGCGCGAGCTCCTTGGCTGAGCATCGCGCATCCGGGCGGTCTTGTGATAGGAAATAAACTCATGCCACCCCAGCTGGATACTTCAACTTCACGGCCCGGTAAGAGGCTCCTCGCCGTCTTCCTCGCGCGGCTACGTTTCGCCTGTCCGCGCATTTCGCTCCGCCTAACTCCCTATCGCATCTCAGCGCGCCCTCGATCCGCCTCGCGCCACTGCCCGCCCCACTTCCATCTCCCATTCCGCAGTTCGGCGGAGGGACCTGAGTGACTTTAAATATGTTGGTCCTGGCCCAGGCCCGCCCCAGATGTCGACGTCGAATTGTCCCTTGGTTTCTCCTCTGAAGAAATCAAATACCATATCATTTCCCAATGCAGAACAAGCGTAGCCGTGAGCTGTTAGCCAGATTCGCCGTTCTATGCGTTTGGCCGCGCGTGGCGGTGCGCCCCCGCTGTCAAAACCAACGTCGCGTGCAACATCCGCGAACAAATTCCCGCTGCTGCCCGCGGCGCCCCGAGTGCCGCGCGTTGACTATGACGAGCCTCCCGCGCGCGCCATATCGCAGTCTGCTTCTGGCAACCAGAGGGAGATGTCCTGCGTGGCCTCGACGTAAAAGCATGCCCGCTTAACACCCAAGCCCCAGCTTGAGTCCGACCTCGCGCCCCCCATCGGCCATGCTCTATCCCCTCGGCATTTGCGATAGAGAGCCGCGACGTTTGGGCTTCCAGTGGGGGAGGCCGCAATGCCAACATTTTCTCTGGAGTTCTCTGGAGTTGTATTTAGCTTGCTGTGCCACGAGCCTGGATCGGCACTCCGGATTGGCTTCGTCGCCCTGGTTGATGCCGACCGACCTCGTGCACCCAGCCCAGCCCGGTAGGAACGTTGCTGGCGCCAGCCCAGCATTCCTCCTCTATCACTTTCCCGCGCGCCTCGCGCGCGCCCCCCCCCCCCCCCCCCCCCGCCAATGTTTAGCGCAGGTTCTGGGTCGAGCTCGCCCCCTGCTACATCGCCCCCAGCACGTGCTTCGCAATCTTCGCGGTGCACCGCGAATATGCCTTCCCTGGTGACTGCGGTGCTTCGGCAACGCGTCCACATGCCTCGCGGGTCGCTGCAATTCCCAGCAAGCCCCGGCGTCGTCGCAGTCCACGCGCCCACCGGTGCGGCTGGGCGCCCCGTCTGAACAGGCCAAAGAAACTAGTGGCTCTACGGCGCAATCCCCCTCCGAACTCTCCCCTCTGCTCTTTTTTCTTAGTCTCACTGACCCCCCTGTCCTCAAGTCCTACCCCGAGTCGAAGTCCGGAGTGACTCGCCGCGGGCACGAACCCCATTTCGGCCTGGGCTTCCTCGGAGCATCAGTCGAGAGGCGCCATGATCTTCCCTGGTCCAAGTTAGCACAAGGCACCTCCCACTCTCACCCTGTTCATGCCGCACCTCGTTAGTGCCCGTTCTGTCGTCTGGCCCGATCGAGTCACTCTCGGGCCACGGGCTTTGAAAAAAAAACACCCTAGTCGGTCGACGGCCGTCGCCCGGTTTGCCGGGCCCTCGAATATACATCGACGTAGTCGATCCGTGTGGAATGCTGATCTCGTTCGGCCTCCTCCGGCTAAACCAGCGCGTCGATGCCAGCCTGGGCGCGTCGCGCTGAGGGCCCCCCCGACGCGCGGGGCCGGTAGTCATGGGCCGGGTGGGAGCCACTATTGGCGCTTGCCCTCATTTTACGACCTGCCCCAGGTCGTCGCCATCATGCGCGGGCGCACCTGCTCGCGTTGGCATTCTCCGCATTGGTGATCCAGTCCAACTCGAAGCCCCCGCGGGGTACTCAAAGGGAATGCATGGCCCCTGTTTCTCGGAATCTCGCATCGCCCCAACGCGAACTTCATGCGTTGAATCCGCTGGTCAAGCATATCCCTCATCTTTCCGGTCCCAAGCCTTTTTCGAGATATGGGCCTGCAACTTGCTGAAGGCTGCGCACATAGGACTCGCCATGAACAACGTCGCGGCTTTGCTCTTGAGGATTGTCCGCGCTGTTGCTCGCATCACCAAGCAATTGCGCTCAAATAAGTTGTCGCCCAAATCCACGGGCGGGCCCTGCGCGGGCCCCGTGCTTCCACCATGACAGCGATTCGGAATAGCGAATGATCTTCAGAAACATGTGACTGCACGATGCGTTGGCCTTTGCCGCGCAGGCGAAAGGCTCTCCTGATTTCGTTGACTGTTGGGCGACGACCAAATCAGCGCTGGTGAACAAATCCACGCAATCTGTGCCAAACCCCATCGCGCTTCAACTGGTGCGCACCTCGTCGCCGTCAATATTGTCACCGTATTTGTCAACCTGCTCGGGGGCATTTGTTTCCATGTTCTCGCCGTTGGGCCCCTCTCCCCCATCGGCTCCTGGACCCCCTCGCTGTGCCCATTCGTCCTCCTGTTCTTTCTCTTGCACTTCTCTAATCCTCTCGTCGTCTCTGGGGCCATCCGCCGTTTTTTTTTTTCCCCCACATCCAAAGTGGGGTTCTTGTTTTCTCTGCACACCCCCGCGCAGGAGAGAGATCTCACTCACCCCCTCTTCTCCTCGCACTCATTCACACACACATCATCATCACTCGCACTCTCTCACACGCTCACGAACATCATCGTCATCATCGGTATCGGCATCATCCTCATTCAAACATCATCATCGCCACCACCACCCACAATCAATCATCATCCTCTTCACCACTCATCTTCACCACCACTCATCATCCTCATCCTCATCATCGTTGAGTAAAGTGTGAGGAAGTCTCAGGCGGGAGCCCCCTCCCTATGGGGCCCGCAGATCATGTTGGTAATCCGAGCGGGTCATCGGAACCCTGTAACTGTCGTCACTTTTGGGCTCCCCAGGCCTGAAAATGGAGGAAGTCTCAGGCGGGAGCCTCGTCTGTGAGTGAATTGGGAGGAAGTCTCAGGCGGGAGCTCCCTCCCTATGGGGCCCGCAGATTATGTTGGTAATCCGAGCGGGTCATCGGAACCCTGTAACTGTCGTCACTTTTGGGCTCCTCAAGCCTGAATATGGAGGAAGTCTCAGGCGGGAGCCTCGTCTGTGAGTGAATTCTGAGGAAGGCTCAGGCGGGAGCCCCCTCCCTATGGGGCCCGCAGATCATGTTGGTAATCCGAGCGGGTCATCGGAACCCTGTAACTGTCGTCACTTTTGGGCTCGTCAAGCCTGAATTTGGAGGAAGTCTCTGGCGGGAGCCTCGTCTTTGAGTGAATTGTGAAGAAGTCTCAGGCGGGAGCCCCCTCCCTATGGGGCCCGCAGATCATGTTGGTAATCCGAGCGGGTCATCGGAACCCTGTAACTGTCGTCACTTTTGGGCTCCTCAAGCCTGAATATGGAGGAAGTCTCAGGCGGGAGCCTCGTCTGTGAGTGAACGGAGGAAGTCTCAGGCGGGAGCCCCCTCCCTATGGGGCCCGCAGATCATGTTGGTAATCCGAGCGGGTCATCGGAACCCTGTAACTGTCGTCACTTTTGGGCTCGTCAAGCCTGAATTTGGAGGAAGTCTCTGGCGGGAGCCTCGTCTTTGAGTGAATTGTGAAGAAGTCTCAGGCGGGAGCCCCCTCCCTATGGGGCCCGCAGATCATGTTGGTAATCCGAGCGGGTCATCGGAACCCTGTAACTGTCGTCACTTTTGGGCTCCTCAAGCCTGAATATGGAGGAAGTC